GCAGCAGCTTACAGGCCACCTGCCCCATCGGCCAAGAGTACAGCTCGTTGTAGACGATGAAAGGTAGAGCCAGCACGAACAGCAGGTCAGCGATGGCCACATTGAGCAGGTAGACGTCAGTCATGGATTTGGTTCTCTTGTAGAGGGCATAGGTGAGGATGACCAGGCTGTTCCCCACCAAGCCCAGGATGCAGATGATGGAGTGAATGTAAGGACCAACCACAGCGTTCACACTGTTGTTGTTACTGAAAGGGCACGGTTCATAATCAGGGTAGTTCTCATAATATTCATAGGCTGGAGAAATGGAGTCATTGGAGAGGTTCATCTTGTTTCACTGTAATAAAAGTAAAGAGAAAGTTTATTGTACATATATTAAAATAAGACAACAAAGAACAGCGATTCCAAACAAAATGCTTTAACGGTCATTAAAAACTTGCAGGTGGCAATAATGTTAACATTAAGCGCAAGCTGAAGAAGTGTCAACGAGTAAAATCATTCTGTTTTTACTCGTTGACATAGTCACAGATTTCTTTTTAAATTATAGTCTGTGTATATATTTTCAGTTGATATGAATTAAAAATCAAAGTAAGTACAGACAGAATGTCAGTGAAGAGCTGACAAAAGTTCTGCATGTATCAAAGCTTTGGTGATCTAATTAGGCAAGAAAGACTGAGAAACATTTTGAAGTTCCCCTTAATGGACTGCCATTGTGCCATGGTGGAGGGGTTTGGGTGTATCCAGTGATCCCGAATATCATTGGCTCTACTAGGGGCTTCATGCCCCTAGTAGAGCCACCTAAGGCAGACAGGTCCTAGTTAAGGGACCAGACAAAGTGCACTCCAAACACTCCATATGATGAGTACAAGCAATGGCCCACTCTGGAGCCAGGTCTGGAGGTGAGGCATGCTGACAAGCATCTCGTGGCCAGGCTTCCACCCATGGAGCATGGCTGGGCACAGCCTGACAAGAGTCCTCTAACCACGGGCTCACCAACTGTAGGAGGGGCCAAAGGGGTCAGCGTGAGATGGGTGGTGGCCAAAGGTGGGGACATTGGCGATCTGACCCTGGGCTACAAAAGCTGGTTCTCGGAAGGAGCCTGGGCTGGTGTGTGAGGTTGAGAGGTTGAAAATAGCCAGTCTCACCTCAACACATGGCTCTGGAACCAGTCTCCTTGAGAGGGATTGGATTTCACTCTGGTGTTGCCCCTGGTGTGAGGCACTGAGCAGAAGTGGGCATACTAGTTGTCCCAAGTGCTGGTGCCTGTACGTCTGTGTTCACCCTTGTGAACAAGATGGTAGCCTCCCTCCGCCTATGTGTGGGAGGATGGGTTCTGACTACCGTTCAGACTACCCACCCTTTTTAGAGTCCTTGGAGGGGGCACTGGAGAGTGCCCCTTCTGGCTCGGGTGGCCATTGGGGCAAAAACTCGGCCATAGGAGGATTTCGGAGAGATCATGGAGAAAGACTTTCTTGTGGGCAGAATACTTTGATCGCACCAGCATGTCTTCCTTTGAGGAAGCAGTGCCTGGGGACTTTAGGTCGGGCTTTCTCATCTCTGGTACTAAGGTCACTGAGGTGGATGAAAAGATTCTTGGGCCAAGATCCGAGGGGTGGATGAGATTTGTCTACTGTTCCTTAAGGCTCTGGATGTTGTGGGGTTGTGCTGTCTATGCAATACTGCACAGACATCGAGAGCAGTTCCTCTGGATTGGCAGAACTGGGTGGTGGTTCTCCTGTACAAAAAGGAGGAGGATCACCATGGCATGTGTTCCCACTACAGAGGGGTCACACTCTTAAGCCTCCCTGGTAAAAGCTATTCAGCGGTTCTGGAGAGGAGGCTCCATTGGATAGTCGAACCTCGGCTTCAGGAGGAGCAGCGTGGTTTTCGTCCTGCTCATGTAACACTGACCCAGCTCTACACCCTCAGCAGGGTCCTGGAGGGTGTGTGGCAGTTCACCCAACCGGTCTACATGTGCTTTGTGGACTGAGAGAAGGTGTTTGACCGTGTCCCTCGGGGAACCCTGTGTGGAGAACTCCAGGAGTGTGTGGTACCAGACCCTTCGATACAGGCTGTTAGGTCCTTGTATGACCCCAGTCAGAGTCCAATCTGCATTTCTGAGATTTTATGATTCATTACCAGTACAACCTGAAGTACTGAAAGCTGAACCTCTGGCATTTTCCTGAATAAATTAGACATATTTGGTTACAAAAGGATATTGTTAAATAGGTTATGTGATCAAATGAGTGCAGAACTTTCTGTGCAGACGCTGATACTTCCTGTGATTTCTTCCTCTTTTTGGTTCAAATGTCATACCTGTTAACAGCAGAAGCAGCAGTTTTCTCATCATAAAGTTCTAATCAACAGGAAATACGTACAATACCATCGAGTCCCTGCAGCTACGCCTCATGACTTCATAAAAACTGTGCTTTCAGGTATTTGTCACTGACACACTTTTCCACCTCCACATTGCCAGTTTGTGACAAAAATTGTTTCTCATTTGACTTTCTGCCAGTTTTATTCAGTGTGATGGAAGAAGTTCAAAAACCCTGACATTAGATATTTAAATGATCTGAAATGTGCCCAGAAACTTCGGCGTTTGAAAAGGTTGGTTCTGCTGGTAAAGAGCGTGGAGGCATCAGACAAGGACGTCCCAGTTGTGGTCTGAAGAAGGTCTGAAGGTGTGACGAGTTTGTTTTTTACAAGTATCAGAGCTGGGAGGAAGTTTGCAGAAAAGAGGTCAGCCTGACTCGGAGTGACCCAGTTCACGAGTGGTTTCTTTCCCTCCCCAGCACAGATCAGAACCACAAATTACAAAACTGAGTAAATACAGACTCTCACAATTTCACATCTGGGGAAAAACCAAAAGATGAAAACATGAAAAGAAGAAGGGTGTTATCTTATTGTCGACTTATTTAGTTACTAATATAAGGAACATTTCCGCATTTATTCCAGGAGTTCATCAGCTTTTAAAGCTCTGTGACCTTCTGAAGAGGATATTTCATTAATGCGCAGATATGAGTATAATTCATGGAACTGGTTTGTTCTTCATCAATGCAGCTGAATTCAAGCCAATGAGACGATCTGCACAGAAATAAAAGCACACGTGTATTTCCTCTGTTACTTTCCTCTTTTATTTACTTCTATCAAAATTAAAGGTGCAGTTTCTCTTTTTTGTGCATGACCTGTGCTGCTTCTCTCACGTGCTTCAGATGGGAAATAAATATAACAACCAGCTGAGTTCATCCACATCAGCTGACAGACGACAGAAAACGGGTCCTTACGATGTAATATTTGACTTTCAATGACTTCATCTGCTGCACACTTTGTTACACTGAAAAACTCTAAATCTTACCAAGAGCTTTGTCTGGTTTCTACTGCAAATATCTCAGTGCAGTTACTTTCACCTAACTGCTCAAGACAGAGCAGCTTGTTGCAAGTTAACAATTCTGGACTATTGAGAAAAAGTAAAGTAAATGTCATGTTTCCAATATTTGTTACCTTGTTTTGAGAATCCATGGATCCAATCATCCATTCATGTATCTATTTAAGATAATAACAACAATAATAATAATGATAATAATAATAATAATAATAATAATGATAATTTTTATTTTAACGTATTAAAAAATAATATATAATATTTAATTACTATTGTTAATAATTTTATTAATTAAAGTATTTTCATTATCCTTAATTATTTGTATTTTTATTAATTAAAAATAACAATAACTACTATTATTAATATTTCTTTTATGTCATAATAATAATACATATTACTATTATTATTATTTTTGTGGTAATGATAATAATTAACATTAATTATTATTTATTATTATTATTTATTATCATTGTATTGCTCCAATCTTTGACAAGGCTGATATCTAATCAATCAGCTGTGAAGAAAAGAACAGGAAGCTGTTGAACTAAAATCCTGAAAACTCATCATGAAACCTTCAAGTTCAGTTTTCATCTCTTAAACGTGAAAAAGTCGACCCAGCTTAGAGCGTGAGGTCAGCTTGTGGCTGAAAACGACATTTTAAATTTGAGAAGTCGGTGAAGACAAAAGTCTGTCCATTGAGCAGAAGTACAGATCAGGAACTTGAAGCTTTTGAGGAACTTTCACCTTTTAAAATAACTTTAATTCTCCTTTTAAAATGGATTTTCTTACTGCTTTGATAAAATATTGAAACAAGCATTAAAATCATTTATGTTAAAGAGTCACAGGAACATGAAGTTCTGCTGAGGTGCTCAGGAAGCCCAGGCTGGCCCGACAGCAGCTCGTCTCATTTCTATCATACTTTTTCCTTCCACTCAACTTCCTGTTAACATGCAATGTCTTGAATAAGTCTGTGTGCGGCTCTCCCTCCATTTTCCACTTCCTATGAACATCATCGAAACTCGAAACAACCCTTTGATTATCCCGGCTGCTCATGAATACTTTTTCTTTCCACTCAACTTTCTTATTAAACTTGAGTCATTATTCCCATCATTACTTTTTCCAAAACATTTAATCTCTGTAATAACATTCTTTATCAATTACTCTGATGTAACAATTTGATTCTTTAACAATCTGAATTTTACTCAAAATGAAATAAATGACTGACTCAGGTCCCTCCGTGTCTGCAGCCACTTCATCTGCAGGTCAGAGTAAAATCTAAACCTTGATGATGTAACACAGCATCAGTCACACATGACTGATAGAAAAACCTGCACAAACTGACTGGTGTCCATTTTTTCATTTCATGCTGCATCACTGGACCAGTTTCATGTTCACACAGTAATAACAAAACTGTATTTATGAATTTAGTCTCAAAGATTCATTCTTGTCTAAAAACTGAATCCATTCATTTGTGTCCATTTGATCGGGTTGTGCAGCAGAACCCGTCCGACTTCTCGTTCTGGTCCATCCAGAAACATGAATCGTGTCCAAAGCTGTGAATGACTCGGTTCAAGCAGTGATTGAGTTACAGGACAATGCCTTCCTGTTTTTCTCTGGTTCAGAGCTTCTCTCTTCACAGTAGAAACTAAAGCCGGTCAGGACCAGGAGAACTTTGGTTCCTATTCCCGTTACTTCGGGTCAACGTGTGTACGGGTTCCCTTTAGGCTTCTGGGTTCCCAAAGCTAAAAAGAACTCTTTACAGACATCATGGGAACCAAAGAGTAGCACCCATCACTCTCATTAAGATACTGCTGTACTAAAACCACAGCTAATGTTAGCATGTCTGCTAAACAGACCAGCTACCGGAGCAGAGAGCCTGACTAAGTCACCAGCTTGTTATGTGGCGTTAGCTTAAATAAAGAGCAGAAAGTCTTAAGGAACAACAGCTACATTTAGTGATTAGGATCTATGCTTTGTAAGTAAATGTAATTTTAAAAATTAACAAAAAAAACTTTAATAATAATAATTACAATAAGTCTGTATCAACAAAAAATATGTAAAATAAATACACAAGAACTAAAATCACAATAACGAATCATTAAATACATTAATACCTAATGCTGCATTGTGTCAGCAGCAGTAAGAATAATTTCTTGCCTTTGTGTTTAAAATAAAAGCTGAAATGTTTCTATAACTGGGAAAACGTCAAACTGCTTTCTCTCACGTTTTATTCTGTTTTTATTTTTAAGTCAAAGTTAACAACCTGGTGGCTGTAAACCACTTGTCAAACATTTCCTCATAAAGCTCAGGTTAAACAAATAAACATGTAGCTGCAGGACAATAAAAGCTGCTCAACAGCAAACAGGAAAAAGATTCTGACTAAAATGCATGACCAGCAGGTACTTTGTTCTGAGTTTGGTGGATTTATGATTAAAACAAAGTGAAAGTTGTGCAAATGATCAACATGTTTAACTTTATGCAGCTGCAGTTGCCACATAAGAAAGGAAGGTGTTAAAAAAACTAAAATGAAAAACGATGCAGGAAACTGAGGCTCTTCTCTTCAGACAGCTGCTCTGAGCGCAAACATTTATAAATGCTATTGTTAATAGATTAGATTCAGATGAGCCACAGAGACAAAATTAAAAAAAATAAAGCATAAAACGTATATTTTTCCACCCAGCCGTCTTACAGACTCAGTTTAACAGACAGAACACAACACAGCTACCTGGAAGTTGCTGTTTGAGGCTTTAACACAGGAACAGTCAGAGTTCAACACCATCGGTTTCACTGATAAACATCTGTGGTCTGCCAAGGTGAAACGGCTTTAAATAGACGTGAACATGACTACATCATGAAGATTTTAGAGATAAAGAGATAAAAGTGAGCAGCTGTGTGGCGCCTGGCGTCATCTGAGAGACGACAGACGTTACATCATGATCCAAACGACAACATGAAGCTTCAGTTAAGAGACGAGACTCAAATTTGATCGTTTCCTCAGGCAAGCAGCCCAAATGTTTCTACCAAACTCCACATCAAAGCATAAGGCAAGAAGACAAACGTCTAAAGTGAAGCTTTAAAATGTTGAGTTTAAACTTTAAGACTCAACAGATTAAAGAAAAAAACATGTAGAGAAAATGTTTAGAGCTCACCTTTCTGCGGCGGACAGAAGTAGGGCTGATGTTCGTGATGCAGCGAGGGAGCAGCGGTGGCGAGACTGATGCTGCTGCTCAACATCACACACTGAACCCTGCTGATAAAAGGGAAACGGTGTGTGTGTGTGTGTGTGTGTGTGTGTGTGTAGCCTGCAGCTGAAGTCTTCCTCTTTCAGCCCCAGCAGAAGTGATCTTTGCTTTGTCCTTCCAGCTTCCTCCTGCTGAGCTCGAAGCTTCACGTTTATTTAAACTTACATCACTTTATTTACGACGCGCCGCAGAAACTGATGTCTTATTTATGGCTCTTCTGCAAACATTTAGGAGCTTTTAACGAAGCCAGCTGAGACATAATCTGTCAGCGCAGCATCTGGTTCTGACTCATCTGAAGAGCTTTCAGAGGTCCGATCTCATCTCTGGCTCAGCCTGTAAACATCAGAGGCCGATTAATAAAACATGCAGCAGCTGCAAACCGTCCAGCGGCCAACAGACCAGCGACGGGAACCGTCTTCATCAGAGTGGTGCTCCGTTTCAGAATGAAACAGAACTTATTGTTCAATGTTTTCTATTTAAATCCAACATTCAGAAGCTTCTAGTAGAACTTTCTGAGGTCTGGACTTTGACTAGGCCGTTAAATCAGACGTCCCCACAGTACCATACCTCCATTAGGGGACCAACAGTTGCCTGTTTTGCCACTGCTGTGAATTTAGATGCATTTTTTATTTATGTTGTAAGAATTTTTATTTTATTTTAGGTCATCTTGATTGATGCTATTTGCTATTTTAAATCTGAAATGTACATTACCAAATTTATTTGATGAAATTACATCACTCAGAAAACGTAATTTGTTATGGAGTGCTTTTATTTTGTAATTGCACATTAACGTTTGGCTTGATTTGATGATTAAATGATCACATCAATCATCATTAAAGTGATCATTAATTATTTATATAGCATTACTTTTATTTTGAAATCCCACACGTATTTAATTCAAGGAGCTTTTACTTAGTAAAATTAATTTAATATTTTATAGAAAAATATTATTGTGCATGCTTCATTGATTTTGGCTACTTTAAGTAAAAAATTATTTTCTGAATGACTTTTATTTTGAAATACATCTCTTGTATTTCCTTATGTCACATATATTTCTTATTGCTTAGTGTAACTTATTTATCTTAGCATTTATTCCACAGACCAATAAATGCATTACCTTTATATTAATATTAATTATTTTGTCCTTAACGGCCTTCCGTACGTTTCTTTGATCTCACAAAGTTTCCTTCAGGCAGAAACTGGAACAGAAACTTTCCCTCCAGGTGAAGCCAGTAAAACAAACCCTTTTATTGCTTTAAACAAACTGTACAGATTTAGATATCCAGAGGGGAAGAGGTGCATGATGGGAGCTTCAGGACACGTCCTCCATGTAGTCGACTCCGTGACTCTGACTGATCTGAGAGACGCTCAGGTCCTGCGTGGTTTCGTCAAGCTGAGCGACAGACAGAAGGCGACATTCAGAGCTGGAACTGACCTCAGATCAGACGCTCAGACCAGACAGGAGAGGGTTAAACCTTGTCGCTCGTCTCCGGACCCTCGATGGAAACCTCCTCGATCTCCTCGCCGATGCTCAGCTCGCCGTTGGAAAGGTCCGACCGATGGCTGAAACACAGAACCGGCTTAAAGCTGAAGCTTTGGGTCAATAAAGTGTTTCTGAATTTAATTTGTTTTCCTGCTGTGGGTCAAACCTGAGTGAGGTTGGCACCTCAAACTAAATTGGTGTCAAACATTTTAGTTTAAGCAGCAAAAAATTAGTTTGTGACGCTATCATTTTAAAGATATCAATGAAAGTTTCCAGAGGTCATCAGAGGTCAAACCCCCCCCCTTCCCCCCCGCTTACATTTACAAAATCTAACACGCTGGGTGTCAAACAGCTCAGCTACGTTTGTGCAGCAAACAGTTTTGTTTGTGTTGTTTGTGCTGCTTTTGCATTGAAGATATTCATGATGACCTCTGGAAACGTTTTTATTAAAATATTTAAAATAATAACAGCAAAAGTTTGACAGTAATGTTGTTAGACTTGCAGGAGGTGGGAGGGAAACTTCACTGGGGTTCCTGCAGCTCTTCTCCTAACCCCTAAACCCCTAAACCCCTAAACCCCTAACCCATTAGACCGAACGCCTCAGCCTCCTCACCTGTTGAAGTCGTCGTCGTATTCCACGTCTTCGTCTGTGGAGACAAAAAATTCAATCCAATCGTTAGACCCGGTTTCCTTCCTGGAACCAATGGAAGCAAAAGGATGAAGCAAATGAAATGGTTCTGACCCAAATGCAGAGACCCGGTTCTTGGAGACTTAAAATATTTGTCTTTGAAGTCGTTCAGCCCTAGGAAAGAAAAAGACCTGATGTTCAGAAACTGATTGGGTAACACTTTATTTGAAGGGGTGTGCATAAGACTGACATCACCCAGTCATGAACATGAAGAAGTCTGAATGTTTATGACTGTTGGCATGAATGTCATTCCGTAAATAATGACACTTTTAATGCAAAGTTGCTCTAAAAGTCCATTACAGTGCCAACTCTGCGTGATTTTGTAAATTATGATAATTTAATGCAAAGAGGGAGGGAGGGAAGAAAGAAAGAAAGAAAGAAAGAAAGAAAGAAAGAAAGAAAGAAAGAAAGAAAGAAAGAAAGAAAGAAAGAAAGAAAGAAAGAAAGAAAGAAAGAAAGGAAGGAAGGAAGGAAGGAAGGAAGGAAGGAAGGAAGGAAGGAAGGAGAGGTTCATCCTCCTTGTGGGTCGGCTGAGTGAAGCTGACCGTTCCTGCTGTGGCTCGGTTCCGACCCGATGCTTCCTGCTCCGGGCCTCGACGCCTCAGACAGAGAACCCGCCGGACTCCCTCTGGTACCGGACGCCTCGGGCTTCCTGTGGGTCAGAACACAGAACCCGGTTCATTCCGGCCTCCATGTGGTTCCTTCAGTCAAACCGGAACCAGAACCAAAACAAACCCAGAATGTTCAGCTGGGGATGGATAAACCCAATTCAGATTTCCAGATGGTTCCAGATTTTCTTAAACATTCGATGAAATGACCGGTTTGGGTTTCTGACCCGTTTGTTCAGGCAGGTTGTTGTTGTTGTCAAGTTTAAATAAAGGTTACAGGACTTTGACACACTGACATGCTAACAGAGGCGACGCAGCTACCTGTTGACTTCAGACACACCTGAAGGAAACCATGTTGGATTATTATTATTATTACTGGGTTACAGGAGGAAGTTGGAATCAAACTTTGGACTGCGAGGTATTGCTTGTTCCCCTGTAAGGAGCTTATTCTTTAGAAAATTAGACTCTTTTAGATAATAAGTAAATCAGACGACCTGCAGCTCACCTGAGCTCTGAGCCGAGATCCGAGACGGGATCGCCTCGCTCGGGCTCTGGGTCTGCAGCCAGGACCGACAGGCTGAACCAGGAGGAGGAAGAGAAGGGACGTAAGGAGAGTCAGAGAACACACACACACACACACACACACACACACACACACACACACACTGAGGTGTTAAACAGCCGGCGCAGAGACTCGGACCACGGCGACCGTTCAGCTGCTCCGCCGTTCGTCTCGCCTCAGTGACCCACTCTTCTCCTCCCACATTAAACTTTCATGCAGCCCACGGCGGAGTGACTGACTGGGCTCCGGTCGCCCGGGGGCCCCATGCGGGCTCAGCGATGCTGCAGACATGATGGGACGGGACGCAGCGGTCACAGGGACCTGCTGCAGGCGTGGCACAGACACCAAACAGGCCGGCGGCAATAAATCTGTCCAATCAGAGAGAGCTGCAGGATTCATCGGGTCCAGCTCACCTGAGAAAACACCTGAGAGGCTCTGAGCTGACATAAACCTCCTCATCTGAAAGTTACAGGTGTTTTAATTCAACAAGTAGGAGGAGATTTGCAGAGGAATCAGCTGATTGAAAACTCCAACCGTTTCCAACACTGCCTGCGTTTCCATTAGAAATATACACAAACGTTTGTCTACATTCTGCTAATGTTAAAAAAAAAAACAATTTCACAATTGAATGTTTCCATAACGAGCACCACAGGTTCACTAGGTGTTTGCTAATTGCTCCTGGCTAGTCTGAAGGAGCTGAGAGGAAGAGACTTCATAATTCATTTATGTGTTGTTTTGTTTATTTTTGATGTTTAACATGTCCTCCACTTCCAGTTCAGGATCTAAAGTTTATCGATCTTCCAGAATGTGTTTTTGGATTTTTAAGCTTTTATCATTATATGACTCGAAAATGATTTCAAAACCATAATATTATCGTTTATCACAATAACTTCTGGGTTAATTTATTGTTTAGTAAAATGTGTAATCTTGTCAGGTCTGACATCAAGCAGTCTGTTTCTGTTCACCACTAAAGCTTTTGGCTGCGACAGCCGAATCAGATGTTTGATTTTTATATGATGTCAATCATCACAAGTCCAGCTGATTCTGCTTCCTTTCTCCAAGAGCTTGTGGAAAGTTTTCTCGTGCTTCCTGAATCCCTCCTGAATCCTGCAGTCATCATCTCCTGAGGTCTGTGAACGCCTCGCTGCAGGAGGCGAGTTGAATCGGGTTTCTGATACGGTTTAGATGCGGTGGGCTCGTTAGCGTTAACGAGGCTCGTCTGGTTGGACGGAGCATGCACACTCACTCGCTGAGGCTTCGGCCTCGTCTCATCAGGGAGACGGGCGGCCCACACAGACCCTCCTCCCTCAGCGGGACAACGCTACAGGACGGGATAAAGCAGGACAGGGACAGAGACGCTTCAGAGACAGGTCAAAGGGAAAGCAGAGTGAGGATGTGGACAGGTGAGAGTTCACCGAGACGACGGAGAGGAGGAAGAAAATCCCAGACTTTAGTTTCTGACTGAGACTTAAAGGAAGGTGCCGAATAAGGTATACTTTCTTCCTTCTTCTCCTAAATGACCTTTGACCTCCTGATTTTCCCCTCCTCTGACTCGGGTTTTGTTACTCACTCCTTGGGACTGTTTGTCCTCTCTGACGACTCCTTTTCTCCGATCGGAGAGCTTCCGAAGCAGCAGGAAGAGAAACGAAACACCAGAGAGACAAAGACGTTCAGATGGTTTTAACGCTAAAACCTGATCGACATGCGGATGAAAACGGAACATTTCAGATTATTTTTATTGATTTATCTATGAGTCCAAACATGAAAAATCCAGAACTGAATCAGCTCCAAAAATATGAGAAATTTAAATTCAATGGTTTCAAATTTCACAGAAAGTTCACAGACATTTAAAAACAAATTCACTTGAAATTTGTTAAATATTCATTTCAAAATATTCTGGAAAAAAAATCCAGAGTACTTTTATTCCAGATATTTAACAAACATCCATTTTCTTTACACCCCTGTCCCTTAGTGGGTCAGAAGGTGCTGGTGCCTCCAGGTGAGGGGCGGGGTCACCTGGACAGGTTTCCATCTGTCACAGGACAAACAACAAACATGTTTTTGGGCTGTGGGAGGAAACCGGAGAAAACCCACCATGCACAGGGAGAACATGCAAACTCCATGCAGAAGGACCGGGAATCGAACCAGAACCTTCTTACTGCAAGGCAACAGCTCTACCACTGTGCCACTGTGCAGCCTATGTAACAAGTAGAAAAGATCATTTATTGTTTGAAAATATATTCTAGATGCAAAATGAAATAAACATTTGATGCATACTGAATAAAACTCCAGTGTTTCTTAATCACTTCTGTTTTTTCTTTAATAGCTCGACAACAAATCGTTTTAAAGCATCAATCCTGAAGTTTATTAAAAAATATATTTATTATTTCAAAGTAATATTTATTTAGTTCATTATTTTTATGGGACTGTTGTGTGGGGAGGTATTTTATTTTTTTCACAAAATAAAAAAACATTTTATAGTTATTGAAAAAACAAAAGCAACCAAAGAACACAACCTTCTGCTTTCTTTTTAAATTCAGGATCCATTATTATTTTTTCTTACAAAACAAAATTTGCAAACAATTTCTAAAAGCATGATTGTTTTTGCGTAGCTGGTTGTCAGGCTGCAGGTTCGTTGTCATTTATTCCTAATTTCTAACTGCAGCTGATGAAACATTTGCGCTGCAGATGATTAAATATGAGATTATAAAGGTTTTCTCCCTGCTGCTCTCTGTTCTGCAGCCGGTTTCCTCCAACCCGAAGGCGTTTTTCTCACCAGCCGTAAGTCTTGAGCGGTTTGGGCAGCGGGTCGTCGAAGAAGGAGTCTCCTTCGTCATGGTCCACGTCTCCGTCCAGCTCCAGGTCCAGATGCGCCGCGCTCCCAGCTGTCGGCTGCTCCTGCTGGTACCGTTTGGGCAGGGAGAGGACCTGCTCCAAGTCCTGGCCAACAAACAGAGTTTCCACACAGCTGAGCAACAAGCTGAGGCAACGCTGGTCACAAACGAAGATAAAATACGGTTCCAGGAACCTCCTAGTATGAAACAGAGGCTGATGCTGCAAAAGGAAATAGTTTCTGAAGCTTCTCCCTCATGCCAGTCGTTTTGTTTCATCAGCAACGGCTTTTTTTGTGTGACGACAAATCAGCTGAAACTATTTCCACTGGTTGTCCAACTTCTTTCTGTTACGCCTCCGTTTTCAGAGAAAACATGTTTCCTACTGATCAACTGGTAATCACCAAGAGAGGCTTTGACTTGGATTTGGTCTAACAGGAGTCAGAACCACTAAGTAAAGTAAAAGTAGGATGTTGATGTAAATCCTTCAGAAAAATTTGCATGTTTGTACTTATTTGTTTCCTTAAATCTCTTGACTTATAACCGAAATAAATAGAGACGCTGGAGTTATGATGCGGTTTGTTACAAACACGTTTGGTGATAAATTGGCAAAGTGTACGAAGCAGCGTAGAATCAAACTGACCCTGAACTGAGACGCCTGCTCGCTTTCCACCGTTTATGCTGCTGCTTGTTTTCAGAGAGGTTGTTGTTGAAATTGGGGGCCTGTCCGGGATCTAAACTGTTTTTGGAGTCAAACTGACTGATTTTGTAGTGGTACTTGAAATATTTGAAAGGATTTGTGCAACATTTTGTCCAAATTAAATCATTTTCCAAAGGGAACAGGCAGACTGAACAGCTCAATTTTTGTTAATAGCAGAGTTATAAGAGTAAGAAATACTGCAGCGTGCAGGAGGGAGCTATCAATCACATAAAGCCAATATTTTTCACAGATTTTGCAGAAAATTAATAATCAACTCATAATTATGCATTAATGTGAAGAAATGCAGGGATTTGTTGATCTTGAGTAAATTTAATGCCAGCATTAGATCAATGCAGAAATGAAGATTGTATTGTTGGTTTTATTAATGTAGAAATTAAAAATGGGGGCCTGTCCGGGATTCAGAGGTTTTCCATTCATTTGAATGTCGTAGGTTCATAATCAACCTCCCAAACTTTCCCTTCTGGTTTGATGGCTGGATTGGTATTTTTAAAGTTGGTGCTCAGATCTGTTTTTATGTGCTGGCCTGAACAACATTACAGGTGTAGTTATTAATATTAACAATTACAGTAACACTTCATTTGAAGGGGGTGAATAAGACTGTCATGACACTGTCATAAACATGACATAACACCTGTCATGAACATGAATAAGTCTTCATGAATGTTTATGACTGTTGTCATAAAGCGTCATTCGGTAAATTATGACACTTTTAATACAAAGTTGACATTATTCAAAATGTCTTTGTTATGACAACTTGACATTAACCAGGAAATCATTACTGATATAAATTTGTTATAAAAGTATTACTGATTGCACTTTAAAAATGAGGTAACTTTATGTTATTAAAGGTAAAGTTTATACAGTAATGATTTCCTGGTTAATGTCAAGTTGTCATAACAAAGACATTTTGAATGTCAACTTTGTATTAAAAGTGTCATAATTTACCGAATGATGCTTTATGACAACAGTCATAAATATTCATGAAGGCTTATGTCATGTTCATGACAGGTGTTATGACATGTTTATGACAGTGTCATGACAGTCTATTTCACCCCCTTCAAATAAAGTGTTACCACAATGACTCCAGTCTTGGACGGGTTTCCTTGGGCTTTGTAGCAGCAACTATACGCTGCTCTAAAACCTCCAAACATTAAAACATTTACAAAAACCACCAAGTCCGAGAGAGTCACAGGTTGAACTGTAGCTACAGACATGGAAAAAAGAGCAAATAATAAAGATGGAAGCAGATCAGCAGGCAGTGAAGGAAAACTGGGTTACTTTTAAGAACCGTTCAGAACCGTCAACAGTTTCTAACCAGAAGTCTAAAACACAGAATGAGTTCCTACATAAAGAATGGTGCCCAGGACTGAAACCTAACATGAGAAGGTTTGCTACAGAGCATCAGTGCTTTCTCTGCATCAGCAGAACCTGAAAAAACCCGGTTCTGATCCAGCTTCAGTTCAAAGCTTTAAAAAATGCAGCTGATTACTGTTAGATGTGTAAATTAATCATGAAATACATTTTTCTGCTGTTAAATGGTCTAGAAATTGGTTTATCTCAGATGTTTTTATCATTTTTTTCTTTTTTGTTTTGGACAATCCAATACAAATGAATACTGAGGTCCAGTTCAGAGGACCTGCACCTACTCAGGGTTCTGTATTTGTGGATTTTAAATCTACAACATTCAATAGAAAATGCAGCTCAGGAACCTGAAAAATCTGCCGTTAGCAAAGCAGCCATACCAGGGGCGCCAGGTATTTGTCTTACCTCTGATTGGCTGTAGCTCCAGGAGCAGAAATAAGAAACTTTAGATATTAGCTTCTGCTGTAGCACTAAGTTGGTTCCCAGTGTGCACATTAATGCAGGTTAATGAATATTTGGTGTCTAAACTCTTTAAATATGCATTTATATATATAATCTCTTTCCAGATTACGGTTAAATGTTGTTTCTGCCTGAGATTTGATCAGAAAAATAATCTGAAGCTTCTTCCAGTCAATTTAACCAGAACCTTTGGACACAAACAGCTGAGCAGAGCAGGATGAGAGCAGCTCTGTAGTAAACCCGTCTGTGCCACTCGGTGAAGACGGTGAAGAAACGTGCGCCTCGTTTCCACTGAGCGGTTCGGTGCCTTATGTAATGATCTGCAGTGGAAACGAGGCGGTGGATGTGATGGTGAGTTAGATGCAGCAGGGATCCGGTTAGCGAGCTCAGGTGCTGTTCATAGTGATGGTGTTAGTGCTGCCCTCTTGTTTTTACCTTCGCTGCTGTCTGGCTCCTCTGACCTTTGAACCTGGGGATCTGTGCACAACACGGACAGCAGCCATCAGACCGACAGACTGGATGCTGGGCGCCTCACGCAGAGACCAACAGCGGGCTGATTTATCGACCTAAAGTCTAGAATCATTTCTAAATAAAACTGTTCTATTGAATAAAAAACAAAACTTGGGAGAGTACTGGAACTACGAAGGATCAAAAGAATGAAAAATACTGGAGACTTTGTCTCCTTTCAGTCAAATAAGGCGAGTTGCTGCACATATTTCATGTCAAAATGAACAAAAGGAGGAAGAAACAGGTGAAAAGTTTTATTTTAAATGTTAATTCAAACCTTGAAAGCGTCACATTTTTCTAGACTTTAACCCTGCAGAGAGCAGCCTGACCTGGATATCCAACAGCATCAACCAATAATATAATACACTTTATAATACACATTCACTAATGATTCACTTCAGAAGTGCAGAAAAAAGCCTCTATTTCTTGGATTTCCCATACTGTCCCAAGTTTTCCTATATTTTGGTCGCACATTACAGAAGCAGATTTTTCCAGCTTGTAATCCATGTTTTCTTTTTTCTCTGATTTTTCTCTGATTCCCAGAACACCAGTTCATTTCTCTGAGGGAATTCTTGTAGGGAAAAATAAAACTTGAGCTCTGTACCTTACTGACAGGCAGAGAGCCCGGTTTGTCTTCAGCAGTCTGGGTCTGATGCCGACTCTCGTCTGAGTCCGAAACGACCTGCAAGCAGTTCAGACAAACAGATCGGTTTGGGTTTCCTGGAGCAGCCACAACATACAAACACTTCCACCAGATTTTCTCCATTTCATCTAAAACTGAGTCCATTAGATTAGATTCCTTTTTAGAAAACTTTTTATGGGGAGCAGAAATAGTTTGGATTTAATCCAAACGAGGCTCCCGAGTGAAAGAGCCTCTCACCACACTCCTGCACTGATCGAAGAGACGTTTGTATGTTGACAGGAAGGACTGGAAGTCGACCTCTGCAGAAAACAGAACAACACAATAATATGTTACTTTATAACAATACCACATGTGACACGTCACTGATGTGGGGTAAGTAACTATTAACATGGCTGAATTTAGTGCTTTAGCATTAGCTTCTGCTAATTATCATGTTGGTGTAGCGCTTTAGCATTAGCTTCCTCTGAGCATCATGTTGGTGTAACCAACACTTTAGCATTAGCTTCTGCTTGAAAACAAAGACTCACTGCTGTCTGCAGCTCTGAGCTCTTCGTCGACGAACCTCTCCAGCATGCTCCTGCAAACACAACAGGGAACCCAGATGAGCCATCAGATTACCGGCTAGCTGACTGGAATCTGACCAGTGAAACCAGTTAGGACATGGATCCTACTTGTTGAGGCCGGGCAGCAGATCTGTGAAGACCAGCTTCAGGTCTTCCTTCCTGACTGAGCCGCTCTGGTCCTGCAGGTGGCAGCACAGAGTGCAGGTGAGACCGCCGTCAGCGATTGGTCGTAAAAACCGACGTTAAACTGCGGCACTGACCTTATCGTGAGAGTCAAACGTCTTCCGAGCGTGACTGATCTGTTTCTGAGAGAGATCCTGCCGAGGAAACAAAAGGAGCCGATGGAACAAGAACATTTAACTTTTATTTAAATGTTAAACTTCACAGAACGCCATTAATTTATGATCATCTATATTTTAATCTTTTCTCTGATTGGTTTCCAGAACCTTCTTTGTTTCTTTAGGATCTAGAACAGATTACTTCCTTTGGGCCCAAATGATTCGATTTGGTTCTGAATCACAGAATCCGACCTTCAGCTCACCTTGACGACGTGTCCACTCCTGTCTCCCTGACAACACAAACAGAGACATGAGTCAGGTGAGTCTTCGCTGCATTGGGTCGGATCAGAACCCGGACCGGATCTCACCTCAGAGCGGATGGGCAGGTCGCTGCTCCGCCGGGCCCTGCGGACCAGCTCCAGGAGAACCGGGGCGTTCTGGTTCAGCTCCGAATCTGACACGCCCAGCTCCCTGCAGACCAGGTCCCGGCTGTCCAGACCGTTCAGCTGCAGAGGGGTCAAAGGTCAAACACTTAAAAAAACAAGAAACCCCTCCAGGTTCAGATCAGTCAGAACGAATGGACCCAACTCCTCCCCACTCAGCTCCTTCAGACTAGCCAGCAGCCATTAGCAAACAGCTGGTGGAACAGCTGAGCTCATTATCGGAGCTGCTGCTCAGAGCAATGCTGGAAAAACGTTAAAGGGTTAAAGAGGAGCCATGTTGGGATGATGTCCAGGAGGCGGAGCTTCAGACAGAGCAGGAGTTTTTAAAGAGACACAGGCCCAATTTCAAGGCGTTAAATATCTAAGTAAAAGTTATTTCAAGTTACTTTTCATGTATGTAGCATTTTCATAACAACTGAAGGTAACATAGTTACTTGATTGTGTTACAAAATGGCATTTTGTGCATGGAAAACACATAATACTGCCTCTTTAAAACCTAGTGTGGAAAACCAGACTGATCCCCAGTCAGTCCAGTTAGAAATGATGTGAAACTCTGCACATGTGAGGCGGTTCTCCTGCTGGCTGGTTCAGACTCAGAGTTTCATTTTCAGGCAGCAGGAACCGAGCTGAGTTCTCTGTGGGATCCAGCGTTCACAACCACAGACCACAGAGGAGACGCTCTGAGTCGCAGCTGCTAGCACGACGCGCTAACAGCTTCGGCACCCTGCAGGAGCGCTGCAGGACTCACCGAGTTGATCTCCGGCTGGAACACAGCGAGGCTGAAGTCCAGGTTGAACACCTGCAGGAAGTCCATGATGAGACTGGCCACCAGGTGTCCTGTCGGACACACACGGGTTCAGAACCAGAACCAGAACCACAGCAGAACAGCTCATCACACAGATCTGAGAAATGATCCAGAAACTTAAAGGTCTGAAGCAAACTGCTGTCTGATGATGCAACAGTGCCTCCTGGTGGTCAACAACTGCAACAGCAAACACGATCCATCCATAATTTCTTTAGATTTTCCTCCCTCCTGCCCAGACTGTCTTAAAAATCTGATAAATCTTTACCAGAGGGGAAAATAAATCTGCTTTCCAGAGAGACCCTGAACTCACCATCTTTAGTGTTGAGGCATTTCTTCAAGTTTTCATTGATGAGGGGAGTTTTGTTCTGAGAGAAACAAGATAAAGGTGAACATCAGCTGATAAAAACACAAACTGTGGATCAAACCACAAGAAGCCTCACCTCCAGTCTGTCCTGGTCCTCCATGGCCAGAAAAACAGCTGCCCTCATCTCCGCCTGTCAGGAAAAACACACACATTTTATTGGAAAATAACCATTGCTAACACAACTAGAGGACAATTTCCTAATAATTTAGGTTTCAACTTGTGATTGTTTCCATTTTGCTGCAGTTTGTGTTTCATGAGGAGGTTGGTCATGTGACAGTGATGCAGCATCACAATCTGGTCATTTGTTCACAGCATTGAAATGGTAGGAAAACTACAATAATGTATAACATCGACTGAAAAAGCAACATTAATATCAATATTGGCCCAAATGTTCAGATCAATGAATTCCTGCTAGAGGCTAAGATAAAGTAAAGGCAGCCTGAATCCATTTTGACATCACAGCTGTAGATTTATTAAAAACAAAAGTGCAATAAGTGAGTAATTTTCTTCAAGACAAATTCAGCTTTAAGTTTTTGGCTGTTCTTCTCCATAGCTGTAGGTTTGGTTAAAAGTTTAAAGGGCAAAACAGAAATAAATTCTGCCAAATGTTACAACCAGCCAATGTGTTCTCTGCTGCTGATGAAAGTATTAGAAGAGAGAATAAAACATATTTTAGTAATGGCATAATTCATATGCTTATTTGCAAATTACATAATGACCTATACACGAGTTATTTCAGAGAAATTATGATAAATTTACAAGAACTACTTCAAGTTGGGGCTGTGAGCCAAGTTTAAAATATTTAGGTGGTAAGCTTGCTGCATATGGAGCTGTTAGCATGTCACTGCCGTCCCGTCATACAGCAGCCATCTTCAGTCAGAGGCCTCCTCTGTTTTGTTGCATGACTGACTGCAACTGGAGATCCTTTCTGCCCACAGCAACACCATCCACAACTCTTTAAGTTTATGATTCAGCATACCGCTTAGTGGAAACGAGGCAATGGAGTTTTTTTTTTAAATTATTATATTTATTTATGATAACATAACTCATATTTATGAGCTGTAACAACACTTCATTTCCTTTGGGATAATATAGGATTTTTTAATTGAGTTGAATCAATTCATTTCAGCCTGTCTGAACTGAATTCATAACTAGTTCTTGTTTAGTATGAACTGTTCCAAGTCAGGCTGTACTAAATGGGTCGCATAAATCATTCTACCAGTGCTGGTTCGGTCTGACCTCAAAATAACTAAAATATCTTATGTTAATTACATATTTTTGGAAATATTAAATTCTTATTTCTGTTTTTATGTAAAATACTACAATAAAATAATATAAAATCTGCTATATAGTCATCGGCTTTATCCAACAGGTAGCTAAGACTGTTTCTTCAAAGTTAAACTGGTTAAACTGGCTCATCAGTAGATTAGCAACTCGATGCTAGCCGCTAAGCTGAAGCCGCTAACCGGAGGCTTCTTGGTTCTGTTTCCGGTTCTGATTTCTGACCTTCAGTTTGTTGAGAACTCCGCTGTTCTCCAGGTTCTGGATCAGCAGGTCGCGCAGCTCGGTATCATCTTCAGCAGCCGACATGTTCACCTGGATCTAAGCTAGCCGCTGCTGTCAGGACAACAGACCAAAACAAACTATACGGAAGTGCTCCTGATGATGCTTCTTCCGGTGTTTACCGCCACCTGCTGGACGATACCGTGTATACCCGTTTTACCACCAAACCTGTTTACTAAAAGGTTGTTTATGAAATTTTAAGTGTTATTAAATGGATATTAAAAATAATAAATTAAACAAATGAAACGTCCAATTAAATTGACTTGAAAATTATAATTACAATGAAAATTTATTTTTTGTTCTTTTCATTTTAAGCATAAAAATACTTTGTTTAATTAATGTGCACCAGCTTCATCACAAACATATTCAAATATAAAAGTTATTCTATAAACTAAATAGGATGTACTAATAACTGTAGATGTGATTAAATAGAAAATAAACATAAAATAAGAATAAAAAATGTTAAACAAAATTAAAGACAAATAAAAATAGGGCATTCTTTGTATTACCATTGTTTCTTTTGGCATAAAAATAGTTTTACAAACTGCATTCCAATTCTTTGTTCTTTCCTTTCTTCTTCCTTCCTTCCTTCCTTCCTTCCTTCCTTTCTTCCTTCCTTCCTTCCTTCCTTGCTTCATTCCTTCCATCTTTTTTCTCTACAATTACTAAAATTTGATAGTAATTTTAGAAACACGTTATATTTTATATGCAATTTTCGGTGTGCTTAAAAAACCAATAAATAATAACATGGAAATATACGGAAAAATATTAAAATAGAATATTATTTTAAAAAATATTAGAACATTAAGAAAAACTATTCAAATAAAAAATACATAAATTTTAATTAATAAAAACAAACAAACAAACAAACAAACAAAATAAATAAATAAATAAATAAATAAATAAATAAATAAATAAATAAATAAATAAATAAATAAATAAATAAATAAATAAATGCTGATGTTTTTTCTCAGTAATTTCTGGTATTTCAGTAACTGAGTCAGGAGAAATAATAGAATATGTTTATACTGAGAGGTGATGGGTGAAAAGGGAAGGTGTGAGGGATACAGATGGAGGAGAAAGTAAAGATCTGGGTGACGAGGGAGGAGAAAGAGGGTCTCAGAGGGAGGAGGGGGAGCAGCCAGACAGGGTGAGGAGGAGGAGGAGCAGGAAGAAGAGGACGACGCTCAGGCAGACTAATAGAGCAGCCTCCCGGTGGATCACGGAGCTGCTGCAGCCGGAACCCCAAGCAGCGCAGCCGGAGCCATGGCCGACGAAAGCACCCGAACCACGGCCTGCACCGGCTCCAGCCTCCTGCAGCCGGTCAGCGAGATGACCAACCTGCCGCTGGATCAGGTAGGACCCGGACTGGGCTCTTTCTCCATGCATCATCCTGGGGGCCGTGCCTCGGAGCCTGGCGGACGCCGCGCCGCAGCTCCGAGGCGGGGATCGTGTCTCCAACAGGCGCCTCTTCCGAACAAAAGATGCCTGAACAGGGCGGCGAGGCGGTCGGTGAGTCCTGGCTGGACGGAGGCCTCCCAGAGTCCAGCTGTGGGAGGAGAATGTGTTTTGTAACGATGATCAGGTCTGAGCAGAAGATGCGCCTCTTTGTGGTGGAAATAAACAGGAATCTGTGAGCCTGGGTCTGCAGCAGGTTTATGGAGCAGAGCAGAGGCTCCAACCACCAAAACATCTGCAAATCCAGATCATTTATACCAAATAAAACGATGAGGAGGAGCATAGAGTCCAACCAGGATGAAGGGCTCATCAATAACAGAATCAGTTATCAGGTGATTCAATCATTCCTCCAACTGTGGAGCCCCAGATCAGCAGGAACTAGTGTTGACTTGTTCAGATATCCTCCTCTGGTTCCCAAATTCAGGGATATATCATTTACATATGGGGTCTATTTACAGTTAATCTCTAATTTTCCAACATTTTCCACCTTTAATGTGTCGTAAAATACCCAGAATTCAGCTGAAACAAGCACAGGGAGAAACTATTAACGGATTAACAAACTGCTGCACACCATTTTGTTTGAGACACACTAATATGAATTATAATTAACAATAAATAAAGTTCAGATGTCCTGGTAGGATAATTTAGTAAAACTATCGTTTGTAGAGAGTTTACAAAGGTACCAAGGTACCAGTCAGGAGAAGGTTAAAGACAGTTTAATCAGCCTGGAATTTGCAGGGATTTTTTAATACAACTGTTCCAAAGAGCTAGAATCCACAAATAGTTGAGACCTCCTCTAAAATGCCTCTAACTGCTTATTTTTACAGTTCAAACAGTAAAAATACCTTAATGTGCATCAATACGCTCAGTGTAAACAGCATTAGTGCTACCACAGAAACTAGCATCCACAGTCTTCCTCATTTCTGCTGGTCAGGCCAATCAGCACCCAAGGAAAAGAATAGGGCTTCTGGATTGGCTGCTTTGTAAACACCAGTCACTAGCAGTTAGCATCTAAGCTAGGCATCTCAGCTCTCCACTAATCATTTTCCTTTGTTTTGTTTTAGAACTGATTTACGAACAATATGGAGAAAAACCCCTGAACAGGCGCGGTCCACTGTGTGTAGAAACTGCTGCTAGGAGCCTTATGGTAACGCTGAAAAGCTGCAGTAATTTCTGGCTGTGTTGGGTGTCAATAATCTGCTGTCGTCTCCATGGATTCTCCTCTGATGGGAAACATTCAAACCTGCCGAAAATCCCCCTGATTGTCATTGGAGAACGTGTCTGGGAAATAAATCTGAACGTTTGGGTTCTTTAGGGACAAAAACAACACAGTAACATTAGTAAAACCATGGTAGTGGTAGTATCATGCTCTGGGATTATGTTTGTTCAGATGGAAACTAGGGTTCTTTTTGTTTGTTTTATCAAAGTTGATGAATTAGGGACAGTTCTAAATACGTCTTCATCACAAAGTCACTCTAATAGGACCTGCATGACAGCATGAAGTAGGCTGAAGAAATTCAGATACCACTGGCTGATCATTAGCAAGTATTCATATTTAAAAACTCTCCCAAATTAAATAAACTCATCAAAGCATTGAAGGTCAAACTTCCTGAAAGACTCAACCTTCAAGTTATTAAATCATTATTGGTTATTTTTGTCTCAAATTATAAATTAATTTGATTCAAAAAATAGGAGAGCAAAAATATTTCTGTTGTTATGGTGATAAAATGTCAAGAAAAAGTCATTTATGGATTAGCAGATTGACTATGTGGTAATGTTGAGTCTGAATGTGCTAAGCTAAAGGTCAAAGGTTAATATTCTGTTAAAGCTGAGAAACATCAACACACTGACAGAAGATAAAAACTTCCTGAAGAGCTTTGAGCCTCCAGACTAACAGGTGATACTCGGCGTGTAACAGGTAGACGACGCTGCGCTCTGATTGGCTGAGAGCCAGCTGTCTGGATGCAGGTGGATCAGGTGGTCGGTGCTGCTGCTGGAGGTCAGAAGGTCTCTAGGTGGTGATACCGAGACCTGGACGTCCAGATGGCCAACCAGGATCTGTCCGTCTCACCTGTTAGAAATATAATTCAGGGCTGAAAAATGGAAAAATGTTTCATGAAAATGTTTACAAGTTGATCAGATGAACTGAAGTTTGATTTGCAACGTTGTTTTTTGGTTTCAGTCTCTCAGCTCTTACTGACCACCACAGGTTTGATGCTCTGCCTTATGACTAGAAATGGGGATTTATTTTACATTTTGATGTATTAATGTCATGATCAATTCCAATTAATGATGTTTAAAACTTTCCTTGTTGTTGGGATTCTTAGTTTTCCTATTTTATTCACTGTTTGTTAAATAAAAACATCAATACATATGAAAAATATGAAAATAAAAGTTACAATGTGCAGCTTAGTGATACAAATATCTCTACATGATTCTTTTAGAAACACATTGCAAATGGGAATGTTTTGCTCTCAGTCACACATAAAAATTATTTATTAGTTCCTGCCGTCACTGTTTCATTATGACACCTCAAAGTGCTGAGATGAAACTTGTTTTTGTTTTAGACCATTTTCCAGTAACCTAATGGAAATGGCATAATAATGCAAGAACTCATTCTCAAAGATCAATAAACCTTAAATTCTAATAAATGTTTAACACTGGAACTGGAACATTTTAAATATCCAAAATAAATAAACGAAACAGAAACAACAGATGAAATGAAGTCTCTGTAAACATAACTGTCCTTTATCTGAGCCAAAAGCTCCAGACTGGAAGCTTTTATCTTTGCTAATGGAAATTATTGAACTCATTTTAATTTATCGTGTCAGTAATTGATTTATTGATTTATTGCTCGTTAGCCTACTGCTGATATCGTTCCGCCCTGGCATGTTGCTTCAGACCATCAAACAGAAATACTTTGTGATTAGATTTCTACTTCCGGATCTTTTCTCCCGGTTTAAACTTCCTAAAGAAAGGAAAAGGGATCTTCATTTCTCCAGACCGAATGTCTCCGTCCAGCCGCTGCTGGTCGGAGTTTAGTGTTGGATGAGTAATCGCTCAGTTTACACACTTTCTATTATTTATGACACTTGGTCTCAGATTACAGACAGATCAGATGCTCAGTGAGATCACTCTCTGGAAATACAAGACTACATGGGATGGAGATGCTCCTCGTCATCAGCAGAAACACAGACCTGCAGCTGGACGTGAGATTTGGTGGCACAGAGCATTTAGTGTGTTTTGGTGGTGATTTATGATGGTTGCGTAGATCAGAAATGTATTAAACCCAAACAGGCTTGTTTTTGGTAAATCCACCTTCCACCAGATGTTGGTTCTCATAGATCAGGATTCGATTTCTGAACCAAGTTCAGGATGTTGGTGTCTCTAGATCGGTTTGAGGATGGATGGATGGATGGATGGATGGGTGGATGGATGGATGGATGGATGGAGGGATGGATGGATGGATGGATTAGAGGGGTATGAATACTTATCTGCGCTGTCAGAACTGGATCGGCTCTGCAGAGAAATGTTCATGTCTGTGGCAGTGAAGGTCACTCAGCAGATAACGCTGGGCTACATTCACCAGATACTCACACACACTCACACACACACACACTCTCTCTCTCCTGCATGGTGTCCAGCCCGTCCTATCTCATAATGATGGGCGCCATGGCGATGGACCCACCATGTAATCTTCCTGACACCTCAGAATAATCTCTGTAAAACCGAGTCTGACCCGTGTTGATGCATCTGTCCAGACAGGAACCAGGCGACTCGAGTTTCATTAATCAAAACACAAAGTTTTAAAATTCCTCACACTTCCATGAAAGCCTGAATAAATCTGACTCTGGAGCTCTGGTCCGATTTATCTGATTTATTTGTTGGTTCCACCATCAAATGTTCATGACATCTGCTAATTAGCCTTTAGCATCACAACACTGACCCACTCTGCTTTGCTGAATTGATTTAATTCAGACCCATTTGAGGGCTTCCTAGTATAACCACCCAGTTTATAGCATCTCCATCAGATTAAAATCCAAACTTTGACTAGGCCACTCCAGCAAAAGGCTCATTTATTCCACCTGGTTATTGTTTTATCGTTTGCATCTTCATTTCTGGTTTTTGGCCTGTAAAACCTGATGATATGAATAAGTTTACTTCCTGATTCTGATGGTAGATCAGTTCGTACTCCTCTTATTGTTGAGATAAATCTGTCACTGTTCGGCGAACTGAAAGGTTTCACACCATGTGGGCCATCTGAGCGACTCACATGCTTGTCCTGACCCGGCTTCACCGGGCTGCTGCTGATGAGAACCATCTGAGCAGCTGAACAAACCTCGTCTGACCCGCCGCGGTCAGCATCCTGCTGGGCGGACAGGAAGGACCAGAACTTCACCCAGAACAGCAGAAAAAACAACCACAGCTCTGCTTTAACATGAAGGCGTGAAGCGTAGCTGAAGGTCTCGCAGGTCGGTTTTCTCCCTGTTGGTTTGGAGAAACAGGAGATGAATTTGACTCTGCTGCATTTAAAAGGTTTTCTAAGACTTTAATGTAATCTAGTGACACTAATGTGTTAACGGGAAACTGAGATGATGTGTGTGAGCTCCTCCTCCTTCCTGACTCTGACGCCACTTTTCCCTCTGCTCCGTCTGCAGGTCAACTTCGTGGTGTGTCAGCTCTGCGCTCTGATCTCAGCCTTCTGGTTTCGTCTCTTCCTCCATCCCAGTAAAACCAGTCCTTTCATTAGACATGTGGTGGCGACTGTGCTGGGGCTCTACTTCGCCCTGTTCTGCTTCGGCTGGTGAGGCGACGGCTGGAAAACCTTCCTGCTTCCCAGTTTTAGCTTGTTTTTGCCAAACTGATCAATATGTTGCAGTGGGAAGAATAAATTTCTGGATCACCTCGAGGTGAAGAATGGTGAAAAGTGGCTGAAATTTATTTTCCCTGATAAATTCTGATTATTTGGGACATTTGGAGAAGAAACATTGCAAACTGCCATGCAGCCTTTGTTGGCTGCTGTTTGTATTGATATTAACAGCAATAATTTGGTTATTTGACAAATTAGCCAAAGAGAATATTTTGTTAGCTAACTAAATATTTAGCTTTATGCTAAATATTAGGTAAACTAGCTAAATGAATTTGAAGCTAAATATTTAGCTCAGACATAATTAATCAGGAAATATGCAGATTTACTTGCCAATAACTGGAAGTGGACTGTCAAACATAAACTTTGAAAGTCACCTCTTTATTATTTCTTTTCCTCTTTTTTCCAACATTTCAGCTTAAACCAAAGATGAGCCATTTTAAAGGCTCAAACCAATGGACCTGCAGCCTCAGTGGGGCTTTGACTCACCAGCAGAAGTTCATGTAGAAGTCCTGAAGGTCCAGCTTTTATTTTGATAGTCCACTTCCACGTATCCACAACTGAATTTGCATATTAGGTCAATATTTAGCTCTGAGCTAGCTAAATATTTTGTTTGTCAACTACATATTTGACAAAGCTAGCTGGCTCAAAGCTAATAAAATGTTTAGTTTGCTAACTAAATCCTTAGTTTTCCAATCCTAAAAACTCTTCCATGGAGATCAAAATGTCCTCCAGAATCAACTTTTTCCAACAATCCAGACACACTTTTGGTTTCTGGTTTTCCTGAATGATAAAGCACAGAGTCTCAAGGCTAAAATGATCTCAAAGTGAAGAACAGAACATAGTACTGAGGAAAATGTCCAACCTTATTTCAGTTAGCCCATAGCATGATGCTACCAAAGCAGAAGCCGACACACTGTGATCAACGACGGGTTGAGACAGGAGTTATACTCAAGGCAGGCACAATGATTGCTAAATGTTTGATTATTGTTATTGTTCACATCTTTAAAGAAGATTCATCAGTTTCTCTTTGACTCTCTGCTCCTCCTTTCTGCAGGTATGCGCTTCACTTCCTGCTTCAGAGCGGACTCACCTACGGCATCATGATCCTGACCGGAGTCGAGCACATGCACAAGTGAGCATCATGGACTCCCTAAATAACGGCGTCGTTATAGAGACATTAAAACTGTTAGAGGAAGCAGCAGCTGTGAAATTAATCTGCTTGATCCATTAAACTCAAATCATCAGTTTTATTCTTTAGAGCTCATGTAGAAAACAACTTCCTGCTCCTTGTGTACATTAACTAGTGGAGTGCTTTCTCCAGACAGGCTGCTAATAAGTGGATTATGTTATGGTCATAAAATTAATTTAGAACTCACACATACTGAAGATTAAAACTGAGTACTGAAGAGTATCAGTTTTACATCAGGAAGTCTAAAAAATGAATTAGATGATAAATTCAAGCAGCTAAAGCTCCAGTACAGGAGGCTGGACTCAAACATGGAGGAGCCCAGAGTAGAGTCACCGCTTCCTCATATCAGACGGTGATATGGTGAATGGTCTGAACTTATAAAGCTCTTTTATCTGGACTAGGAGACACTAAAGGGATTCCTTCATGGGGACTTGTTTCAGAAAAGTCCCTATGAGTTGAGGACTGAGGACAGACCTTCATATCCAGTAAAGGGTTAGGTGTGTAAATGTATGCGTGAATGAGTGAATGAAATCCTCTGGACTTAATAAAGTGCCATTCAAGTAAAGACCATCCCATCCACTTCCTCCTCAAAGATCTTAAGGTGTTTTCAAGCTATCGAGGTTGTGTAGGTTCCCTCCAGTGTGTTCTGGGTGTGTGGAGGGTTTCCTGTGGAGAACCCCCAGATCAAGCCATCCAGAAGGTATCCTGATCGGATCATCCACCTCAGTTGAGTCCAGTTTGGAGGAGTACACTGAGTACTTGAGTACTCCACGGACATCCACACGTACTCGAGTAGACTCAACGATGAGTGAGTGTCAGACACTTGGTGTCGCGTAGCAGACCCTCAGCAGGAGACGGGACAATACCAAAATAAGGCAGCAAGTGGGCGCAACCAGCCTAAAGGATGCATAGAGTGACCACCACTCTCTGTGCTGCACTGACTGATGTGCGATGGCTGCCCTGGTCAATCAGAAGTAGGACTAGGTTCCCAATTAGCCCACCAAACTTGCTAGTATCCATTTGGATTGTGGGAAATGCAGGAATTTGTCACAAGAAATGTAGGCAATCTGTACTCTTTACTGTGAAATCTCATCTGTTCATACAGAGTCCACATGGCTCATAGAATATGCCAGAGTATCTGAGTGCCTTCACTCAGTCTCTTTACTCTAACTCTACCCTGTCCTTATAGTCAAGCCTTGTCACTCTACCTAGGAACTATTTTCAGGTGTTTGCATCCAGAATCTCATTCTTTGGGTCATGACTCCAATGATCCAGGCAGGAGATATTCGGTAGATACTTGAGAAGAAGAAACAAAATGCATCCTTAAAGTCGTTACTACATATTTAGTTTAAGAGCTGAAACTGTGGTCACCTCAGAAGAAGCAGGTTGGGAAGTCTTCCTGAAGTCTCTCTAACAGACAGACTAACTGACCTGAGATCAGTGAGTTGTTGTTGGTCTGACTCTCTTTTGGTTGCAGGTATTGCCTCGTGGTGGCTCTCAGCTACCTGAGTCTGTGCCAGATCACTCGAGTCTACGTCTTTGACTACGGCATGTACTCTGCTGACTTCACAGGGTAAAACTCCTCCTGTTTGTCATGTTGGTTAAAAAGCCTGGAGCTATGATCAGTGATGTTTGACCTGCTGCCTTGCTTCCTTTTCCAGTCCCATGATGGTGATAACTCAGAAGATCACAAGCCTGGCCTTTGAGATCCATGATGGTGAGCTGCTGCTGCTGTAGTTACAGCACAGGGACGACTGAGACTCAGGTGTTAAAGGTCTCTCTTGTTTTGGTAGGAATGGCTCGGAAGGAAGAACATCTGACCGCAGGACAGAAGATTTTAGCCATAAGGTTTTATCCATTGTTTTTAATATTTAAAGTTGGGTTTAAAGTAGTTTCCCTGTGGAAGTTTGAGCTCCTATGTGTTTGTGTGTTTCTTTAGGAGAATGCCGAGCCTTCTCGAGTATTTCAGCTACAACTGTAACTTCATGGGGATTCTGGCTGGTCCAACCTGCTCTTACAACGACTACATTGCCTTCATCGAGGGGAAACCGTATCGCCACCGAGAACAAGAGGCCGACAAATCCAAGACCAGACTGGGTCAAGGCGAGCCATCGCCAAACGTAGGTCACCTGACTGGTTCAGCTCTGTAGCAATCACACACCAGACATAATCAAACTTATGGCTTAAACAGTCTTAAATAATGATTAATCTCTACCTAAAACCTCTAATCTAAAAGCAGCAAGCTGACAATAGTGCAGGGCATTCTGGGTAAGTACATCGAAAACAAAAGAGGGAGTGTAGAGCTAGCAGAAGAAATGGCTTCTGGTCTTTTCCCAAAGACAAAAGAGAAATCCTCCAACCGCTAACATCTCACAGCTGTGCTCAGTGTCTTCAGAGGTTTTTGTGTCATTTCCTTCAGTGGTTATTGGTGCAGCGCCCCCAAAGGCAAGAGGAGAAACAGGTTGCTCAAAGGGTTTGGATGGTTTGACATAGTGCAGTGTGAAAGCAAACTGCACCAGAGGAAAATGGAACAAATGTTGCAGTTTTGGTCCCCAGTCGAATAGAATCCACTGAACTATCAGGTGGGACAACATCCTTAGCGATGCAGATCTTTGTCGCCACCAGCGTCTGGCAGCAGTTCTTATTCTGCAGATGTGAAAGAATCTCAAGAGCCTGTTGCACTCGGCTGGTTCTTTGGCAGTTGGACAACATTGCTTGTATTATGTTGATGTAGAGATCCAACAAAGACTGTCTGGCTTGAGAACAGTCAGTGATTGTTGTTTTTTGATTTCATGTTGTCTTGATTTGGAGGTTTGTGTATGAAACAACTCAAAAAGGCCATAATGTAGAGATTCAGTTAGAAATTTACTGCTCAACATACCATTGAAGGTTTACTGCTGCTCCAACCAGGAAGCGATGGAAGTTTCTTCTTGGAGAGAAAATGAGGACAAAAGTATCTTCCTGTCTACAAGCAGAAACTAAACCAGAACAAATGTGTCTCTCCTCAGATGGAGGTGGTTCGTAAAGTGGCCACCTCCTTCTTCTGCCTGCTGGTCTTCCTGTCGGTGTGTAAAGTATTTCCAGTGGAACGAAACATCGAGGACGACTTCATTGCCAACACACCGTTCTATGCCCAGGTGGTCTACCTGTACCTCTCCATGCTAACCACACGACCCAAGTATTACTTTGTCTGGACACTCGGTGGGTGGCCGTGTTCATATTTCCCAAACTTCTTTATTCTTTTGGACTGTTTGCTCATATTTCACCTGAGACTCTCACCTAACAGCTGATGCCATCAACAATGCTGCCGGCTTTGGTTTTAATGGCTATGACATTAACGGCGCCCCCTGCTGGGACCTGATCTCCAACCTGAGGATACTCAACATTGAGGTTAGGAGAGAACATGTCCTTATTGTGTTTTAACATTACAGGTTGGCAGCTGGACTAATTAGACTTTGTGTTTTCCAGCTTGCCACCAGTTTCAAAGTTTTTCTTGACAACTGGAACATTCAGACGGTGCAATGGCTCAAAAGGTCTGTCTGGAGATCCACAGCTGTTCATGCCAGTAAAAGGACACATTTTGTGTAACCATATTGTCATCTTTATCTGTTGGAAAACAGGGTTTGTTACGAGCGATGTCCCTACCACCCAACAGCAGCCACGTTCATCCTGTCCGCCATGTGGCACGGCGCCTATCCAGGATACTACCTAACCTTCCTGACCGGCATCATTGTCACGCTGGCAGCCAGAGCGGTGAGACGATGGATGGATGGATGGATGGATGGATGGATGGATGGATGGATGGATGGATGGATGGATGGATGGATGGATGGATGGATTGGGTGTAGATGAATCTTGTAAATGTAAAAACCAGAGTAAAAGTTATTAAGCTAATATTAATACATTATTGTTCTTTGTTATTAATACTCTATCAGTCCTGTGGCTGAGTAATGATCTGTCCTCACCTGTCCATCTTCTGTCCTCACCTGTCCGTCTTCTGTCCTCTCAGGTGAGACACAAAGTTCGGCCCCACTTCCTGCATTCTGCGGCCCACAAACTGTTCTATGATGTCATCACGTGGGCAGCCACTCAGATCGCCATCTGCTACACGGTGGTGCCTTTTGTCCTGCTGTCTGTGGGCCCGTCCATAAAGTTTTACAGGTCAGCCATCTCTTTCATTTCTCTGGTTGTACATTTAATTTTGTACTTTGACAATCAGGTTCGAATGGAACCTTATTTCCAGAATGGAACTGAGGTCCATATTCCTTATTTCTTCCTTCCTGCAGATCGTGGTACTTCAGCCTCCACATCATGTGCATCCTCCTGGCTGTAGCGCTGCCGGTCAAACCCAGACATCTGCGCCTCAAAGAGCAGCAGAAAAGCTGCTCCCAGGATGCAGGTCTGAAGCCCCTGGAGGCTGCAGAGACCCACAGTCACAAAGAGAAAGCCTCCTGAGGCCGGGGCCAGAAGCATCTTGTAAATTTCCATGGACTTGTGTGGGAGGATGTGAAGCCGGATGGACCGAGTGATGCTCCTGCTGGACTAGGTACAGAAAAAAGGCCAAACCTGATTAATTTGGATTCAGTGGGGGATAAAAGTGAAAGCAGGCTCTGGGTTTCTTTTTTTTTCTTAAAGGAATCTTGACTGCCAGAAAGACAGCAAACAGACTCAGAAAAACCTGCCATGTTTAAGAATATAAATACCTAATGTGAGTTTACATGGGAGAGCTGCGTGTGATCAGTGCAAACTGCCTGAACTACCATGATTTTAAACCAACTCCCTTTTCTTACTTGTCAGAAACTTGTGGATTAAGGAGGAAATATATGATGATATGAAAAGAAACAGAGGTGAAAAGCTGGAATACACAATTTGATGACAACAGGGGTTGTGTGAATAGAAGTCAGCTTTTAAATATTTTACAGAAGTTAGTTTTGGAAAAAGTGCCAATGTTTGTTCACTCAGTCACCTTATTTGTTCTAAAAAAAAGAAAGAAAGAAAAGTCTTGATGTGTTTACATGTGTAACTTTGGTTTAAAGTTCTTACTGGTGTTTCATTCCAAAAAACAAAGTTGTGGTTTGATAAGCAAAAGATAAACAGCTTTACAAAACCTTCAGAAATGAGCAGAAAATGGTTTTCCTTTCCAGTTTGATTATTTTTTACATATTTTCCTTTCCAGTTGGGTTTGGGCTGGTAGCTCAGGATGGTAATATTTTATTCCTTTACCGTTTGTCGCCTCATTCAGACTCCGTCTCATTACGTCATTTAGCTCAGACACTGGGGAGAAAAAGCTGCTTGGTCTTGCAGATAATTATTGTGGATAAAACGATAGACATGGTTTTATCCACAGTCTTCTGTCCTCACCTGTCTGTCTTCTGTCCTCTCAGGTGAGAGGCCCCACTTCCTGCATTCTGCAGAAAGTGTCTGTAAAAGACATATTGTGAGTGGCATTTTGAAAGACTTGAAAGATTTTACAGCGACCCTATATTTCTGGAGAAACAAAATAGATACAGTTTGGTTGTTACGACAAACTAAATAATTAAGTGGTTTGTCATGTTTTAAGAGGTAAATTAATATAGATCTAAGTGCATTTTGTGTTTCTTGGGGGTTAAGTTTATTCTGATTTATAGATATTTTTGCCAGTAATACTAAATGAGTGTTTCATTGTGTGTAAAACAATTTGTAATTTTGCTGAAATAAATTTCAACAATTTTATTTCAAACGTTCAGTTTGCACACATAGTTCTAATAATTATCAAGGAGACCGTGCCACTCACAATATGGAGGACGCACTGAAGCCAACATGGCGGTTACCCTTCTATGTCTGTTGGTCAAAAAATGCTGAAGAAAAGTTTAGAAATTTTGATTTTGTCTTGTTTTTTGTTTTCGTCGCAACCTGACTGAATTAGAATAACATTAAAAAAGTTTTTTGTTGACAACAATACAATCAGATTTTTGTATAAACCAAGGATTTTGCACTGTGGTGAGATTCTAGGTTTTCTGGCACCAACATATGATAGAATATGGTCTTTAAATTTAAAACGGAAAATATTTTGTTCCAGTATTGGTTCAGTTTTAAATCTGAATTACAGAAAATATATAATTTTTGACAGGGCTTTTAAATCCAAGTGCAAAGATGCTACAGTGAGGTGGGTTTTGCTAACTGCACACATTTCCACCTGTAAAACAGAATATGTGAGAAATAAAATAGTATTTGACCATACAGTAAGTTTGATGAGACAAAAGTGACATAAAACAGTATTATACGAGTTGATTTACAATAATTTCACACTAGAAGTAGCTATAAGAAGCTTGTAGCTTTAAATAAATTAGGTTTTCCCACTTCCTGAATGCCCAGTTTTTACATTTGTTTAAGTTTAGGTGAGTGTTGGCTGTGAGTTATGCTGTAGCCATGATTTTTATGGGTTTCTCTCTGTTCCATCAATGTTTTCTTTGGGAGATAAAAAAAAAAGCGCAGCTTAAGGAAAATTTACCTAGCCTTCATTGTTTTGTTCAATTAAAAAAAATCTGTATTTAATTGTTTGCTTTAATGTTAGCTAGTGGTTTAATTTAGCTATAATTACTCATATTTTGAGTTATTTACCAAACGGATCCATGTGTAAATTTAATCACCAATATTTTTGTTGTTTAATTTATTTTAACACTGAGTGTAGCTGAAAAATTGTGCTGGAATAGCTACTTTGTGTTTACTTTTGAGCTTTAAGCTTGCTAATTGTTAGCTAATTGAACATCAAGGGAGCTAGCTAAAACTGAGTTCCAAATAAAAACCAATTAATATTTGTCCTGCACATCCTCACCTTAAAATTCGATAATAAAAAAAAAACTGTAATAAACTTATCTCTCATTAAATGTTCTTGAGTTGAGTTGGTTATAGCTGTTAGTTTGGCTTTCAAGGACACAAATTAGCTCGTTTTCTAACTTCAAACGTTCAAGACAACTGGAGCACAGCAGGAAGACATTTATATAAAGTTGCTGTAAATGTTCTCTTCCATCAAACTTCTGGTTTTAGTTTATCTAAACAATTTAATCTCATTTTCTGTCCAAACTATTCTGAGTATTAACAGTCAGCAGTTCTGCCAATCAGTAAAAATCAATGTTTTCTTTGCCTCTTTTCTTCTAAAACACAGAAAAATCTGAATCTTTCTCTGAATCTTTCTGTTTTTGTATTTGATCTACAATTGTATTCCTAGTTTTAGGTTTCTGCCATGACACCTGGTTGAAAAGATGTGACTGCTAATGAACATGTTTATGTAAAACAGTGATTAAAAACCAGCCACCTAACTTTGTAGTTTTGACATGTTTGTTTTGACTGTTTATTTTATTTGGTTTATTTTGTAAATTATGTGAATAAATGTTGGATTTTTTTTACAGTTAATGTGTCGAAGGTTCCAGTTATTTTTATTATTGCACAGCACATTAATGAGGGATCATATAAAGTCATATAAATGCATAGCCCCTTAATGTCTTACAACAAAAAACATTAACATATTGTCACTTTGTATGATGACATTAAATTGAACAGGAGATTCAGATGAATTTACAAATAAATCATTGATAGAAGAAGGTAGACAGGTGAGAGTATTAGGCTAGAGGGGAATGACTCAGATGGCACAGTCTAGATTATCTGTATATCCATGGCCTAATACCAACACTGTACTTGTACTTTCATGAAATAACACTTCTGCACTTTAACCCTGAGTAAACTGATACTGAGCAGAGATCCTGCTAATGCTCTGAACTGATAAAAATAAGTAGATTTACTGCACAGATGATAATCTGCATTCATAACAGATTCAAAGAAGAAAACATTGACACCAAAAATAGCCAGACATTATGCAGTTGCATGCAAATATATTGACACAACTTGATGTTGATCAACATTACAACCACAAACCTCAATGTACTTTATATGGACTTTATGTGATGGACCAAGGCAAAGCAGTGCATAACTTTGGTTTTGGATCATTTTGACCACCTTTCACGTTACAGCTAAAAGTATTTTGGGGGAAGTCCCCATCAGCTGGAGATGTTGTAAATAAATAGGTTTCAGAATGCAGAGAAGCTGTTATGGGTTCAGAGTCCCTCTAATAAAGACTGCTCTGGAACATTTATGACAATGATTGTCTATTTTTATCCATTATGGCCTTATGTTATAAACACATTTATAACTGTTTACAGAAATAATTAAACTTGTATAAAGGAGAAAAGGAGACTCTGACACCATGTTATTTAAAATATTTATAAACATGTATATCTTAATTTTTACCAAGCAGTTGAATATAAACCTGACAGGCTTTTCAAAAACATGTTTTTTAGTATAATACTAACGTTGAAAGTGGACATTTTGAGAAATAATTAAATCAGGATGATCAAGTTGGCGGGTATTAATAGCATATATGTAGGAAACAACTGTTACTGGGGCTTTTACTTTGACAGGATAAAGCGGAAATAAAGTCCTCGTTTTTGGCGCATGACGCATTGGAGGGTTATGATTGGCTCGTACTGTTGTTTCGGTTGTTATTCTAATCAAGATGGCTGCTGTTGTCGGGGATGGAGAATAACCGCAGACTGTTATCCGAAAACAGGCCGAAGAAACGCACCTAAAACCCGAACCCCGAACCGGAACCGGGCTATTCAGGCTGAAAGCTGTTCTTTTCTAAAGGTAAATCTCCTCCTCTCCGCTCTTCTCACCGTCAGCATCCTTTTCCGTTCTATTAATTATTGATCCGCACTTGTCGCGGAGGAATCTGTCGGAATGAATCAGATCCTCGCCGATGTTCTGGTATGTTCCACTATAATGGAGGTTTTAGCTATGAATTGTGTCGTTTTTAGTTTGTTTTGAGGTGATTTTCTGTGCGTTTCGGCGCCGCAGGCCGTAAATCAGTGAATGTGTCCGACAGTGTGAAGGTTACAGCAGCCATATAACGCCGATATAACACCGGGGGCGTGGCCTGTTATCATACAGCTGCGATGGGAGCTGTGTAATTATCACTATAAAGTATATTACTGTTTTTATTAAAAGCAACTGATGATTTTTATTATTATGAGCATCATAATTCGATAAAAACAGTAGTGTAAAAATTAAGATAACATGTGTATTTATTATATTACACATATTATATATGTGTATTAATTGTATTTCTATACAAAAGCAGTAACAACACATTAGATTTAGTTATGTGATTAAATAATGGAAAACATATAAAATGAATGAGAGAATAAAACTTAGGATTTAATTAATTGTTTTTAAACTTACAATGTTTAAAACACTTTAAGTTAAATTTAGATTTCCCCTTTTAACTGCATTGTTGACATAAATACCTGTAATAATTATTCAAGAAATAATGAAATGTTGGAATTTATACAGAAAAAGTGAGTAATGCTGCTAATATGGAGTGAATAACATGTTTTCTGGATTGTTTAGTGACTGGATTTAAAGGTAACAGGAACAGAAATCCTAAATCTCAGAACGGTTTTCATGTAGGAATCGTTTCGTCAGCTTCAGTCTAATTGCTCGGTTTGTTAAATCCCTGTTAGAGAAGAAAACCACGTTTTTATTCTGCATTCTGCTCATTATCCTGCTGCTATTAAAGGCCCGACTCTCTGATTACACGTTAAAAATGAGCAGAAGCGGTTTCTGTGGTTTTCGGATGGAGAAATCGTCCCCAGACTGCAGCGTTTAGGGATTTTTATGGCGTCAGGCTGAACATTAAGGATCCACACCCAGTTTTCAGGTCTGAACTCCCAGATTCAGCTCGTAGCTAACGCCCTGTTTGCTCATTTGCATTAACATTCACTCACTCACTGGGCTCCCTCTTTGTATGGGAGATGTGTAGGCTGTTGTCATGGCGACAGCTCCACATTTTACTGTCTGGCTGTGATGGAAAATGAGATCCAGCCCCCATTGAAGTGTTTATCGGCGGGGAGCGGAGGCAGCGGGCTGATCTGGGGTCAGCTCAGGTCTTCATATCAGCTGCAGCAGCAGCTCAGCGGTTCAAACCATTCCTGACGCAGCAGGAAGCTCTGGAGTCGCTCATCTTTTATTTTTATTTTGAAAACCTGTGAACTTCTGGAGGTGTTTGAAACTTCTCTGTCTTCCTGCAGAGGGCGCAGTGAGGAACCGCAGACATGGACACCACCACGTCCATCAAGATGACCACTCTGGCCATCCAGAACCTGTTCAGCTACGTGGAGGAGGAGAACCTGGCCGCCATGAAGGCTCACCTGGACCGCTTCAAGGAGGTGGATGGCCGCAGTGACGTACGTACCGCACCGTACCGCAACACACCACAACACACCGCATTATTTTATCAAATTATTTATTAATTGCTTATGTATTGACTAATGAATTAATCTATATAAATGTACTAATCAAAATATTTATTGAAGTACTGGTTTATTTATTTAACGTATCTGTTGAACAAGAAAGTAATTTATGAAATTTTAGAAATTATGCATGTTTCGTTTTGTTGACATGTTTTGGTTTATTCTGTGTTTCGGTTTGTTTACATGTTTTTACTTACGTTTGTGTTTGTTGACGTCTTTTGTTTTGTTTACATGTTTATTTGTTTGTGTGTTTGCAGAACGGCCAGACGCCGCTGATGCTGGCGGCGGAGCAGGGCAGCCTGGAGATCGTCCAGGAGCTCATCAGGAGGGGAGCCAACGTCAACCTGGACGACGTGGTGAGCAAACCCAACGCCCCTCACCCCCTCTGTGTTTTTATTCTGTCTTGTGTGGTTGCTAGGACACCAGCGGGTCAATTATCTGCTGTTTCCATGGTAACATGGCCTTCCTGCGTGTTTCCAGGACTGCTGGTCGGCTCTGATCTCTGCAGCCAAAGAGGGTCACCTGGAGGTGGTGAAGGAGCTGCTGGAGAGCAGCGCCTACATCGAGCACAGAGACATGGTGGGAGCAATGCCTCATGGGATATGTAGTTGGAGCAGATGTGCTGTGGATGTGTGTCTAAGATGAGGCTGTGTGATTTAGGGCGGCTGGACGGCGCTGATGTGGGCGGCTTATAAAGGTCGAGTGGAGGTGACCCGGCTGCTGCTGGAGCAGGGAGCCAATCCCAACACCACGGGACAGGTGAGACCCCCACTTGTTGCTGACCCGCCGCAGAGCGTCATCCCCTCATGCTCTCGTCTTCCTCCTGTCTGAGCAGTACAGCGTGTATCCCATCATCTGGGCAGCGGGACGGGGACACGCCGACATCGTCAAGCTGCTGCTGGAGCACGGAGCTAAAGTCAACTGTTCAGACAAGGTGACGCTCAGTCAGAGGCAGAATGAATCATGACCGGCAGCCATGTTGTCTCTGAACGTCCCTGTGTGTCTCTGTGGACAGTACGGCACCACCTCCCTGATCTGGGCCTCCAGGAAGGGACACTACGACTGCGTGATGCACCTGCTGGAGAAAGGAGCCGACGTCGACCAGGAGGGGGCGGTATGTCTGCACCCAGCCACCGTACATGAGACTAAACAGATTTAACGCATTTCTGCTGAACAACTGAAAGCCAAACAGGGCTGTTTGAAGAACAACACACTCAGAGCAGTAACTAGGCCAGAACTGTTTCAATAATATAACCATTTTGTAATCAAGATGAAAAATCTTATTTATTTGTAAATTTGATCTACCAAGAACTCCTGAAGAGAGTTTTACCTTCAGCTAGTTCAGATTCTGTGAAATAATTCCATGAGCATCTTTTTCTGTTGATCCAAAATGTAATCATCAGGTCAGGACATGATGTACATGCAGATTCATCCTGTGCTGCATGACCCAGTGTTCACTAAATAAATGCTGTTAATGCATAATAGGCAATTAAATGTTTAGTTTATTGTTTAAAAAGTGAATTAAATTATTTGTTTATTTGCATTTTTATGTATTTTAACATTGGTTATAAACTTAAGTGGTTAAATGAAAAATCTGCAGAATGTGCTAATATTTTTATCCGATTAATCGTTAGAATAATCAAATAATCATCAGAATAATTGATTAATCATGAGAATAATCGATCAAAAATAACAGATTAATAATAAAAATAATCATTTAACAGTCAGAATAATAGAATAACTATCAGGATAATTGATTAATAGTTAATAATTGATTAGTTATCAAAAATAATTGATTGATCATCAGAATAATTGATTAGTCTATTTTTATTTGTCATATTTTAGGTGAAACGGTTCAGAAATTGTGCCTCCTGGTCTCATTTAGCTCAGATATTTCTGCTGCTGAAGCAGCGCTGCGATTGAAACACCAGACTCTGGTCTCCTCAGAACTCCATGACGGCGCTGATCGTGGCGGTGAAGGGCGGCTACACGGAGGTGGTGAAGGAGCTGCTGAAGAGGAACCCCAACGTCAACATGACCGACAAGGACGGCAACACGGCGCTGATGATCGCCGCCAAGGAGGGCCACACCGAGATCGTCCAGGACCTGCTGGACGCCGGGACGTATGTCAACATTCCCGACCGGGTGAGGCGCCCGACTGGTTCCGGTTCCGATTCCGGTTCTGCTCCACTGGGAGGCTAACGGCACAGTGTGTTTGCAGAGTGGGGACACGGTTCTGATTGGGGCGGTGAGGGGCGGCCATGTGGAGATCGTCAGAGCGCTGCTGCACAAATACGCCGACATCGACATCAGAGGACAGGTGAGAGCCGACCGGAAGGTCAAAGGTCATAAACTACTGGAGCATCACTGGAAACTTTAATGTATTTTATTAGGTTTTGTGTAACTGACAGCTTTCTCCTGGACCTGTGTGTTTTGCTCTTTAACACAAAAAGCTTAAAAACAGATTCAGGTTCTTGTAGAAAAGTTTGCATTGTGTCCATGTTCAGAATGTCAGAGGACCACAGAGATCAGCTTCTCTGATATTTGTTGGGTCTGTTCTCGGAAAACAAACCATTGCTAGCAGATTTCCTCCCTCATGTTTTTGTCGGTCCTTTTGCGTCTCCAGGAGAACAAGACGGCTCTGTACTGGGCCGTGGAGAAGGGAAACGCCATCATGGTCCGGGACATCCTGCAGTGCAACCCCGACACCGAGACGTGCACCAAGGTGAATCCACTGGATCCCAGAGAGGATCACACACCGGGCAGATCACATCAATGACGAGTGTGCGTTTTCCTGTCAGGACGGAGAAACGCCGCTGATCAAAGCCACTAAGATGAGGAACATCGACATCGTGGAGCTGCTGCTGGACAAAGGAGCCAAAGTGTCGGCTGTGGACAAGGTGGGAGACTCAGAGTCACAGAACCTCCAAACCCGAACTGTGTTTCCATTAACAGCAGAATTACTCAAACTGAAACTATAAAATAAATTAACTTAATGAAAACACGCCAGTTAAAAACAAAAACTCTGGGAGAAAAGCTGGGATGAGGCAGCTTTTCAGACGTAACAGATGTATTTCGCAAAACTGCCTGTTCGAACATCCAGATGTTACTACTGCCGAAAACCACAAAGAAGACGACAGGAAGTGGTCTTCTTTGTTGTTCATACAAAGTTGTCATTCTGTGTTGAATTCACAGCTCTAATGTAAAATGGCCGACTACAATTTCCCCAAAACACTGCATATGTAGCCGCTCCCAAGTAGGCGGGGCTTGTCGCTCCAACACCTGAAGAAGACGCCAACATCTCCTCATTTAACTGTTTACATCCGTCTCTGCCATGATTGTTAGTGATTTTTCATGTGAACAACCTTATTCATTCGATTTTAATTTCATTTCTTATTAAAAAGAAACACCACAATTGTGAGATTGTTTTTTTACACTAGCAGACAAAGATTTGGGCTCATTTGTCATGGAAACTCAGGTACAGACACGTCAATGACTTCCTCATTGCTTCTGTCCGTTTTCCCAGAAAGGAGACACTCCGCTCCACGTCGCCATCCGCGGCCGGAGCCGCCGCCTCGCCGAGCTGCTGCTCCGCAACCCCAAAGATGGCCGCCTGCTGTACCGGCCCAACAAGGCCGGGGAGACGCCATACAACATCGACTGCAGCCACCAGAAGAGCATCCTCACCCAGATCTTTGGCGCTCGTACGTTTTCCTCCTCCCTGACGATCATGTGACCCGTTTCTAACGGTAACCTGACCTCTCATGTGCCCCGCCCCCCACAGGTCACCTGTCGCCCACGGAGACGGACGGCGACATGCTGGGCTACGACCTGTACAGCTCGGCTCTGGCCGACATCCTGAGCGAACCCACCATGCAGCCGCCCATCTGCGTGGGTCTGTACGCCCAGTGGGGCTCCGGCAAGTCCTTCCTGCTCAAGAAACTGGAGGGTCAGCACACACACACACACACACACACACACACACACACACACACACACACACACACACACACACACACACACACACACACACATGTTTGTGTTGCTATCTTTGTGGGGACTTTCCATTGACTTCCATTCATTTCTACAGCCTAAACCTGACCTTTACCCTTTTCCTAACCCTAACCAAACCTTAGCCCTAACTCTGACCCCTGACCCAAAAACAGGGTTTCCCCTTGTGGGGACCAGGCTCTTGTTGGTCCCCACAACGTAGTATATGTCAGGAAAATCGTCCCCACAAGGTATTACAAACAAACGCACACACACACAAAATACCTCATTTTATCACAATATTCTGTGGTTGTACTGTGATAATGATAAAAATGATGGTAAATAACTACATTTATAGCTAATAGTTGTAACTTCAGCTTTCATGTCACCATTTAAGTTTCTTACTTAAGAAGTCTGATTTATATCACCAAACTGCAAACAGTAACTGAAGTTAATCACACTTGTTTCAGATTTACTGATGTTTATTAGGCTCTTGTGGGGCAAAATGCTCAGAAAATAACATTCCAATAATGTTGGTTTTGTTTTTTATTTTACATCATTAAATTACATTCATCAAGACAGCAATTAATTACAATTCTTATGATAAGAAATGTGTTGTTGGTTTGGTGAGTTTTATTTCTGTATAAAAGCCTTGAAAGTGTTTGATATTCAAACTTCACAATTTGTTGAATAAATGATAACGTTTGATTAAAAGCTTTCTCAGAACAGGGAGATGTGCAGTTAGAGATGTCAAAACATAACGTCTTGTTATGTTTTAGCTTTTCTCCTCTGTGCTCTAGAATGTAAAATTTTACCATAAACCATTATTAATAACAGTAATAAATTAAGTAGTAAAACAGCGAATTGAAAATATTGTCTTCTTTCAAAGTGTGGAGCTGAAAAAGTTTGAAAAATGACCTTGAAAAGTTCTTGAATTTTTCTGTGAAGTGTGTTTGAACCCTGGCTTCATAGCTACGAGTTAACGCCGCTCCTCCTCCTCCTCCTCCTCCTCCTGCTCATCCTCCTGCTCTTCCTCCTCCTCGTCCTCAGATGAGATGAAGACATTTGCCGGTCAGCAGATCGAGCCGCTCTTCCAGTTCTCCTGGCTCGTCGTCTTCCTGTCTCTGCTGTTCTGCGGCTCCGTCGCCGTCGTCCTCGGCTTCACCGTTGACCTCAAGCTGGCCATGGCCGTCTCCCTCAGCCTGCTGGCGCTGCTCTACCTCTTCTTCGGTGCGTCAGAGTTTATTCTCTTCCTCCTCCTGTAAGGAACTGCTGATGGAGCCGTCTGTCTGCTCCACAGTGGTAGTGTACTTCGGCGGGCGGCGCGAGGGCGACAACTGGACGTGGGCGTGGCTGCTGAGCACGCGCCTGGCCCGCCACATCGGCTACCTGGAGCTGCTGCTGAGGCTGATGTTCGTCAACCCGCCGGAGCTGCCAGAGCAGAGCACCAGAGCCCTGCCTGTCAGGTAACGCACGCCGCTCCACCCTGGTGGGAATGCATCATAACTATGGTAGAAACAACAGAGATCTGCACCCTACCAGCTAACCGCATTGATGCTTGTTGATGACGTAACCGGCCGGCATCAAAACAGAGCAACCGGGAAGCAGCGTGGCAAAGAGCAGAAAGGAAGAGCTTTTTAAAAAGGCAGGTGTAAAACCATCAGTTATCTGGACCTGGATCAGGATTTTAGCTCAACGCTCAGGAGGAACGCGGCAGATGTCACAGTCGGACAGTTTCTATCTGTAACCCTCCTGATGTAAAACCAGGAGCAGAGAAATGTAATCTGCAAATGTGGAAGAGAGGAAATACAAGCATTTTGTTTTACCACCTTTATTGTGGGACTTTTGGCAAAAGTCTACAAACATTAAATACAAATAACATCCACAAAAACTAGTTTTAGACGAGTTTGACACAAAAAAATCAGGAATGCACTGATATGAAAATTTGGGCCGATATAAGTATCAAATATTAATACTGTTTTGGCCGATAACCGATATTTACTGATATTATATATATCTTTCAAATGTTCTGACACCTTTGGAAAAAAAAAACCGACCAGAAACAGATGGCAACAAGATGGAAATAATATTAGTTATTAATATCAGCCCAGTTGTATTTATCGCCATGGAAACACAGGAGAGCCGAGCGCTGATGATACTCTGACCTCTGACTTCCTCTGCAGGTTCCTGTTCACGGACTACAACCGTCTGTCCAGCGTGGGAGGAGAGACGTCCATGGCGGAGATGATCGCAACGCTGTCGGACGCCTGCGAGAGAGAGTTTGGTTTCCTAGCAACACGACTCTTCAGGGTGTTTAAGACGGAGGAGACACAAGGTGAGACGCTCTTTGTGATTAGGGATGGAAACTGATAAGAATCTATCGATACCGATTCCATTATCGATTCTATTGCGTTTAGAAACTCTTATTCAAAATATGCACCATGTTGTATTCTGTTCAAACTAATTAAGACAATAAAGTTTAAGTACATTAAAAGACAAAGAAAGATGAAACTATAACTGAAAAATTAAATTAAAAATGTCTTTTAAATGAATTAAATATTATTTTATTGCTGTCAGTATTCCAACCAGCCAGCAGAGGGCAGTAAAGATGCTTCAAATCCTTTTCAAGGAGCTTTGATCAGTTTTAGATCAATATTTCTATATTTACCTGTAATATTTGTTTCACATTGTGTGGATAGTTTTACAGTGGAGCTCTTCCTCTCTGCTCTCCTGCAGGTAAAAAGAAGTGGAAGAAGACGTGCTGCGTGCCGTCCTTCATCCTCTTCGTCTTCGTCCTGGCCTGCCTGATCACCGGCATGGCGCTGCTGGCCGTCTTCAGGGTGGACGGCGAGAACCAGACGGTGAACGCCGTGCTGATCGCCATCGGCAGCGTGGTCGGCCTCGCCCTGCTGCTCAACTGCAAGACGTGGTGGCAGGTCACCGACTCGGTGCTGAACTCGCAGAGGAAGAGGCTCCACGGCGCCGCCAACAGGATGCACAAGCTGAAGAGCGAAGGCTTCATGAAGGTCAGACGGGAGTCCAGCTTTAAGCCTGCAGAGAACTTTTTATTACATTTTATTTCCTGACAGGATCTTCTCTTACATATTTTTATTATTTAATTTTAGCTTTTTTACTTATTTATCATTTATGCATTCATTTTATCATTATTATTGTTAATTTTTTACCTTTTTATTATTATTACTTTTGTTTTTTTATCATTTTCTTTTTCCTGGCAGGAGCTTCTGTTTTATGTATTTATTTTATAGCAGTACTTCTTTATTTTTTTATTTTAATGTTTTTATCTCATTTTCTCTGACAGCAACTTCTTTTTTGTTGTTTTTATTATATTATATACCTTAATTTTTTATATTTATTTATTTATTTTAACATTTTCATTTTATTAATTAATTCATTTTTCAGTTAATTTATTTCATTCTTATTTTCACAGGCATTTATTAGCAGCCGCTCCAGCATGTCTGAAGGATGTTTTAACCCTACGGGCTTCGCTGGTTTTCTCCTACAGGTGTTGAAGAACGAGGTGGAGCTGATGGCGAGGATGGCGAAGACCATCGACAGCTTCACGCAGCACCAGACCCGGCTGGTGGTCGTCATCGATGGTCTGGACTCCTGTGAGCAGGATAAAGTCCTGCAGATGCTCGACACGGTGAGAAGATGCTGCGTGAACTACTCCTGAGGAACTCCTAGTTAAATTCAGACAACACTGAGAAGCACGGCTTTCTTCTCCTGCAGGTCCGGGTTTTATTCTCCAAAGGTCCGTTCATCTCCATCTTCGCCAGCGACCCTCACATCATCATCAAAGCCATCAACCAGAACCTGAACAGCGTCCTGAGAGACTCCAACATCAACGGACACGACTACATGAGGAACATCGTCCACCTGCCCGTCTTCCTCAACAGCAGGGGGCTGTCCAGCGCCAGGAAGATCTGCACCGCCGCGCCTGCCAACGGGGACGCCGCCAACTCTGAAGGTAACCATGACAACGAGAAAGAAAGAAAGCATTTTTAAAATCTTTCAATTTCATGTATGTAAAATTAAGGCCTTAAATTGTCTTAGATGGCTTTTAAAAAAATAAGTTGGCCTATAAAAAAATCTTAAATTAATATGTTATACCAACATTTCATTAAAATTTTTAATTTGGGATCAATAAGGGATTTCTGAGCTAAATATGTTAATCACAGGTCTTAGATGTTGTCATGGCAGGTCCATTTAATCTCATATATTCTATGTATTTTTTTTTTATTGTGGGACTTTTGGCAAAACTCAAATTATTAAGAGACACAAAATTAGAATTCCTCTCAAACTTTTAAGTTTGAGAGTTTGAGTGACAGGAGACAGTGGAAGCTATTGCTAATTACCTGCATTATGCTTTTACTAGCTTGCTAGCTACCTGGTAAGCTAGATTTTTTGCGTTGATAATGATGAAGTGCAGATTTATCTCTAGTTGTTTGGACAAAGTTTGCACATTTCTGTGGTTATTTAGATATTAAATACCTTTCATAAAGGTCTTAAAACATCTTAGATTTGAATTAGGAAAAGGTTAATTGCATCTGTGTGTGTGTGTGTGTGTGTGTGTGTGTGTGTGTGTGTGTGTGTGTGTGTGTGTGTGTGTGTGTGTGTGTGTGTGTGTGTGTGTTTTCAGTGGGTTGGCATGAGGAGCTGGACAGGAAGTTGTCTCAGCACAGTTTGGGAGAGTTAACAAAGTTCGGCAGCAAGACGACGCTGAACCGCCGGGTGAGTCAGACTGGGAGGTAACTGAGACTTTGACTGGTCCTCCAGCTGCTTGAGGTCATGTGACTTGTGTTGCATCGCTGCAGGACACGTACCGGCGGCGCCAGGTGCAGCGCTCGGTGACGCGCCAGATGTCGTTCGACCTGACGAAGCTGATGGTGACAGAGGACTGGTTCAGCGACATCAGCCCGCAGACCATGAGGCGGCTGCTCAACATCGTCTCCGTCACAGGTAAGCCCCGCCCTCCTGGGCGGCCGCTCACACCTGGACACCAGGCATGGGCCAGTTAGCGGTTAGCTAAATTTAAACTAAAGCTTATGCTGCCATTAGCATTAGTGAAACTAATAACATCTTGTCTGCAGAGTGTTTTGGAGTCGTTGGATTTGTGAAGTTAACTAATTTTAAGTGAAAGGTAAAAATACCGAGTGCCAAATAAGTACTTTGTAAAAAGCATTCATATTTGTGATTAAAGCTGACTATAACTACAGAGATTAAAGTTAAATGTTAATTTGAAGTTCCAATTATATTTACCAATGTCCTTTTAGAACACTGGTGGGTCTGACAGCAACAGGTCAAAGGTCAAAGAGTGAAGATCAGCTCACAAATTAGCAAACATTTAAGAAGCAAATCGTTTACGAAACATTCAAAACATGCTAAAGAAATTCAAAATAATCGTATTTAGAGCTGCAATCATAATACAGCAAAACTGGGGCTGGGCAGTAAATCAGTAACATGTGATCAGTATCAATAGATAATAGATAGAATGTCCAATAATTTCACTGAACTCTGATACAGCATTCTGGGAGATGTAGGCAGAGGAGCCCCTCATGGCCGCTAAGCTCTGTTTGTGGAATCAACTAACTCACTCGCTCTTTGGTTACCTAGCAACAACTAACTCACTCGCTCTTTGGATACCTAGCAACAACTAACTCTCTCACTCTGTTGTTGCCTAGCAACAGCCAGTGGAGTAACTTGCACAGCAGCAGTTTCAGGTTTTGCCACCGTGCCTCATAAATAACGGGTTGAGTGAGAACGGTGGATAAAACAGGAAATGACACGTCACCAGTTTGGCTCGATTTCAGATATTTAAAAATAAAAGCTAATCAATACTTATCAATATCGACAGATATGAAATGCTGATATTATGAAAGGTTTTCAGCCATATTCTCCAGCCGTAATATTTTGACCTCAGGTTATCATACGGTCATCATGTCACGTCTGACTCCGCCCCTTCCTGTGCAGGTCGCCTCCTGAGAGCCAATCAGATCAGCTTCAACTGGGACCGGCTGGCGTCCTGGATCAACCTGACAGAGCAGTGGCCCTACAGGACGTCCTGGCTCATCCTCTACCTGGAGGAGACCGACGGCGTCCCTGACCAGGTCGCGCTCAAGAGCATCTATGAAAGGTCAGAGGGCACGTTCACCTCCCGCCGCTGCCGCCGCCGGCCCGACCCTCCGTCTGAGCCGCTGCTGTCCTCCGCTCCTCAGGGTGTCCAAGAACATCCCCACCACCAAGGACGTGGAGCCGCTGCTGGAGATCGACGGCGACGTCCGCAGCTTCGAGGTCTTCCTGTCGTCACGGACACCGGTCCTGACCGCCAGGGACGTCCGCACCTTCCTGCCCTGCACCGTCAACCTGGACCCCAAGCTGAGGGAGATCATCGCAGGTCAGAGCTCCAGAACCAGGCCTGGGCCAGACGCTCCACTTTGATCCAGATGCTCCAGTTTTTTTTTTATCCAGATGTTTTCTCCTCATTTTTTCATCTTTTCTCTGTTTGGATCCGGTTCTGTTTGATGTTTCAGCCCAGATGTTTTCCGTCTCGTTCCAGATGTGCGTGCGGCGCGGGAGCAGATGAACCTGGGTGGGGTCACGTACCCCGCCATGCCGCTGCAGGAGGCCCAGCCCCGCCCCACCTCCGTCTACAGCCAGGTGTCGTCCGCCTGCTCACCCTCTGCCTCCTTCAGCGGCCCCTTCAACCCGCCAGCAGGGGGCGTCATCTCCCCGCAGCCCCACAGCAGCTACTACAGTGGCCTGGCCGGCCCGCAGCACCCTTTCTACAACAGGGTGAGTCCGGGCCCCGCCCACCTGCCTGTGATGTCATCGTGTCATGTGACCTCCTTCTTTAGTTTCATTCATTTCTTTTCATCGTTTTGATTTAATTTCCATGTTTTGCAGTGAATCTCTGAGAGATTCAGAGTTTATTTTCTGTTGAACGCCTCCATCCATGACCCTTCTTTTGGTTTTCACCCCCGTTCAGCCATATTTCTCCCACCACCTCTACCAGCTGCCACGCCCGTTCGTGGCTCCCTTCCCTCCACATCTTCACCTGCGGCCGCCGCCCAAAGTCTCCTTCAGCTGGGACGCCGGCGCCGCTGCAGCCGTAAGTCATCCAGAAGAATCAGTAAAAGTCAGAGTTGACTCACCAAACTCACCTGTCCAGGTGTTCTGACGTCACAAGAGGACAGTCAGGTGAAATCAGCTGCAGTTCAGATGAAGATATCCAATGGTCAGCACCATAAGCACGGTGGTGGTGGCAGCATCATTGAAGCGATGATTCATAGTGATTTAAATTGATGTCAGATTCTGTTATCTCCAGGTTGACAGCACGTCTGCAGAGTCAGACCTCTGGGGTTTTAGTTTCTTCTTCTTCTTCTTCTGTTTTTCCTCCGTTTCCTCTCCTGTGGGTTGGTTTCTGTCAGAGCTGCTGATGTTTGTTATCAGTTTCATTTCCTGATGTGTCCATCCCTCGCCTGTCTGTCTGTCTGTCTGCAGTCTAAGAGTTCATCTTTTAAAAGGAAGCAGGTACTGAACCCTCCATGTTGGACGTCCCCCGCCCCGTCCCTCATATGTCCACAGAAGTCCTCTGCATTTTAAGATACGAGACGATTAGCGTCTGGCTAGCTAGCCATTAGCATCTGCTCATATTTCTGTAATTTGATCATTTCTGAACTGAAACCTCTACAGATTAACTGGATTCTGTGGACATAAAGAGTCGGTTTCCCAGCATGCACCTTGCCTGGACAACCTGTAGCTTCACTTGCCCTTTCATGTCCTCACCTGGAAACTGTCTCACCTGTTGGGGAAACGTACGGTTCACCCCCCACCCTGCACTTTGACCCTGACTGAGGGATTCTTTCAAATGCTGGAGGATTTCAGATTAAAGGTCAACAGATTCAGATTAAAACATCAAATGTTTATTATTAAGATAAAAAGTGAAACCAACAGTTTAAATGTCCTATAAATAAAATAAAAAATGTTTTTTTCCTTCATCTTCTTCTCAGGATTATTATTGTCAATATTAGTAATAAGTTCACTTAAGTCTAATTAAAATAAATATACAGAATTTAAAAGTTAGATGACTGTCATAATAATAATTATGTAATAATAATTATGGATAAATAATTATTTTTTTTATTTAGCCTTGATTTAGTTTAACTTCGCTCCCCATCTGTAGTTTCATTAAAAGAGAGAAAATTGTATTTGTCTTTTTTAATTATTGCATTATTTTTAATGTTCTTAAAATATTTTATAAATATGACAACTAAATAAGTATATTAATAAATATAATTTACTTTTATTAATATAGTAAAATATTACTGAACCAATAATAATGTTATTATTGTTACTATGACTAAATATTTAAATGTTATTCTTGTTTATCATTCAAAGAAAAGGAAATTGTATTTAATAGTCTGTTATTATTACATTTTCATTAACATTCTTACAGTAACTAATAAATTCTAATGTATAATGTATAGTTTTTGTTCTATTATTATGTAATATATTATCAACAGATGAATAACAATAATATTAATATACATTATTATTATTGTCTTATTTATAATATATTAATAATGCAGTGACTAAATATTAAATATTCTACTTTTCTTTTTAACTTTATATCCATATTATATATTAACTTCACTAAATTTTATAGAATTATTTTTTAATGATGATGATTATGATGATTACATTTAATAATCATCATCATAACATTTAGGTCGTTAGGTTCTGCTGTGTTACCACATAGTTAAAGTATGACTGATGATCGCCATGGTAACCAGATCTGTTTGCATGATCCTGATTAAACTGTTTGGTTTGAGCCTCTCAGTTTCCCCGTTTCCCAGATTTTAGCTGGAATCCATCTTCCTGATGTATTCCGTCTTCCTGGCAGCTAATTACTGACCCGTGTTTCCGTGATGACAGTAATAATAAATACTCAGATCACATGAAGTTCTGTTGGTCCGGTTTGTAACGGTTGGTTCTGTTCACCCCCAGGGCTCGGCTTCGGTCGTGTCGGGTGTTCCCGCGGTCCTCCTCAGCTCCATGACGACGGACGGAGTCTGTGAGCGCGTGCGGCAGACCGAGGGCATCGACCAGAGCATGGTGGCCCAGTACACCGCCACCATCAAGAAGGTCCGCATCCCGACCCGCTCTGACTGCGGCGGCGCCACCGGGCTGAGGCTAACGGCGTTGTGTTGATGTTCTGTCTGCAGGCCAACGTGAACGGCAGAGTTCTGTCCCAGTGCAACATTGATGAGCTGAAGAAGGAAATGAACATGAACTTTGGAGACTGGCAGCTCTTCAGAGCCACGGTTGGTGTCGGTCCATCCGGTGGCGGTTCAGAACTCAGAGCAGGTCCAGGTTTAATGGCTCTCCTTCGTTCTGCTGCAGATCCTGGAGATGCGTCATATCGAGAGTCAGGTGCTGCATGAGGAAACCGCCAGCGAGCAAGGCAGCGTAGTCGGTGTCCCCACGGAGGTCGGAAGGCGGGCCATGGCGCCGCCTCTCGCCGGAGCCGCCAACGCCGACGCGTCACCGATGTACAGCTTCAACCTGAGCTTTGAGGAGCTGAGCGGCGTGGGCCTGGATGAGGCACCGCGACCCGGAAACATGCCCTGGATGGTGAGTCCCCTCAGAACCACCCAACAGGACGGTGATGTCAGCTGCTAACTATTGTTCCACCAACCGTCCACAGGGTGGCGCTCACCGAACAGCCAGCATGACCAGCCTGAACTCGCAGGAGTCGTCCAACGACATCGGCAAGCTCACCGACAAGCAGCAGGCCGAGTATCGCAACGCCTACCAGGAGTACATCGCCCAGATGGCGCAGCTGGAGATGAGCGGAGTCGGGGAGAAGCCCGTCCAACCGCAGCCGGGGCAGTTCATGACATCATCAGCCGGGGACAAGAGCAAGGACAGCACCGAGCAAGATGGACGAAAGTCCTTCAACAAGAGAAGCAGCGCCAAACTGCCAGCTGACAACACCGACTTCGCCTCTAGTGGCGACGCTCTGGATCCGATCACCGAAGAGGATGAGAAGAGCGGATCCTCAAAGTCGCTGCTGACCCGCAAGCTGTCGGCCGAGAGAGGTGGGCTGTTCCAGGGCGCCGGCGACCTCAAGGTAAAGGCCGGTGGCGGCAGTCTGCGCTACCAGAAGCTGACCAGTGACGACGAGGAGTCCGAAGAGTCTGACAACCCCCTACTGCCGAAAGACGGCAAGAAGCCGGTCGATGCCAAGCTGCCCGGCGGGTCACTGGCGCTGAAGGGGAAGGATTACCTTTCAGACGCCATGTTGGATAAGAAGGATTCGTCTGACTCTGGCGTGCGCTCCAACGAAAGCTCGCCCAACCACTCGCTTCAGGACGAGGAGGCCGACCTGTCGCAGCTGGAGAGAGCCAACTTGATCGAGCTGGACGAGGAGAGTGCTGCCAGGAAGCGCGGCATTCCCAGCAGCCTCAGCGGCTTCCAGGACCCGGCCGTGACCCGGATGTCCATCTGCTCCGAAGACCAGTGCAGCCTGCTGGCCAGCAGCCCCGAGGAGAGCTGGACCTCCTCCAAGAGCTACAACCTCAACCGCACGCCCAGCAACGTCACCTTGAACAACAACACCAACGCCCAGCAGGGAGGCCGCCCACGCCCGCCCACTGAGGGCTCCACCTCCTCCAACCAGACCTCCACCGGGGACGTCATCATCCCACCAACCTCCACCACCACCAGGCCCGGCCCCAACAACGAGAACGTCCGAGTGGTCCACCTGAAGAGAGGCCTGAAACCCGGAGACCCTCCAGAGATCTGCACCGTGTCCTCTGACACCGTCACCTTCGGCGAGGAGCGCGAGAGCATCCTGTGACCGCATGATGAAGACGGAGGAGAGCCATCTTCTGTAGTTGCATGCTTTGTAGTGTCGTAAAGAATCTTCTGCATGTTGTTGTTGTGATGTTCTCGTCTGTAGGAACCAACTCCTGTCCTCAAGCGACGGTGTCCTCCGTGTTTTAGATGTCTCTTAAGCTACAGGTTGAACCAGGACAGGGGTCTTCAACGCCAGGGCACCATTAAGTAAAAAGTTATTTGCGCTAACCCTAAAGCAGTAATCCTAAGTATTAGTTCAGCAATCACTAGAGAGCTATGCCAGCACAGTATTTAATGAAAGCTAAAGCACAAGCTTCAACCATGTTGTCAATGACACATGTTCCAGCATATTATACACCTACCTGTACAGTTTTCCCTTACGCAGATGTCAAACTTTATTCAACTGAAAGTACAAAATAGCCAAGTATATCAACGCTTTAGGATTTATGGGGGAAATAACTTTATAGAAAGGCTAGGTATTCTCAAAGTCAGCAAAAAATGCTAAAGCGCTTAGCTAAACATTTGCTCCTCTGTTGACAGATTGGCGGAAGTGTGCCCTCACTTTAGTTTACATTTGGGAGCTGCAGCTCCACTTCAGCCGTGGTTTCACACAGGTCAGCTTGGAACTAGGCTGAGTACGACATCAAACATGTCATATTACTGTGCACTCAATACAAATTCTTTATATCACTTTTTATTTTAAACATAAGTTTGAAAACCAACATGGTAGGCTAATAATGTAATTGAATGCATAATTTTATGCCTCTGTAGCATCATGTATCAAGCTGATATCGCCGCTAACGGGTTAGCAGTTAGGTGCTAAGCTAGCGGGGCAACTAGCATGCTAGCGACAATACCCCAACACTGTAAAACGCTTATTTCACTCTTAGTTAATGCAGTAACAAATGTATGATAAACACTTTATTGTCGTCATCATCGTGTATAAGACGGAGACTTTACTATTTATGCACTTTATCGGTGAGGCTTGGTAAAGCACCAAACCGTCTGAAGGAAACCACAGCCACCTTGTGGTGTAACTCAGTACTACATTCCACTACTTTCACCGCCTTTTAATTATGTTAAACGACCAATAAAATCAATGGTCACACCTTTGTATGTGTCACATCATATTTTACCAGGTTGTTACATGTTGCCGTCCCTGTAGGACTGACGTTGGAAACTCCGACTTTAGACTAAGAACCGTTGATGTGACGTAGATCATGTTAGCTTAGCATGTTTGTGTTTCACTGAAATAGTTTCGTGCTGAAAGTTTTGCTGCTTGCTCTGAGTTTGGTCGGTCAGTGTTGATGTTGCTTTGCTGCTACCTGGACCAGGTGTCGCTGTTTCCTGCTAAAATAAATGGACTCGATGTTAAACTTGTGGATGTGTTGGTGAAGCTGTTCCATTTAGAGCTGCTTTTATTCTGAAAAACCTTAAATGTTAAAAAAGATAAAAGGGTCGTTTGGGCCAAGCAGGTATCATGCGGTTTCATCATGTTTGAATCAGTGGTGAAAAGAAACATTTTTAGATTCTTCTAAAAATCTAACTTTCTAGAAAAGAGTCTTAAAATTATGAACAAATTTAAAGTATACCTATCAAACTTCCTGAATAAGCTGTCCATTCAGAATAAAAGTCAGACTGATGAATAAACAAGCTGTTATTTAAATCTGTTAAGTAAAATGGTGTTGATGTTGTATGTGACCACTAAAAACACTCAATAAAACCTGGATGTTGAACGTTTATGCTGCTTCTGGTTGTTTTTCAGACAATTTTTATTTATTTACACGAAGAAAGGTCAAACTGCATGAAAACTGACGTCTGTAGTTTTGAGGTTGTGTGTCGTAATGGAGAACTTAAGCTAATAATAAATAATCTTAAATCTCATGAAAACAGTTAATCAGACGGCTGATTTTTCTACATCCACCCAGAAAACTCCAGTTTCTATGTTTGGAGCAGTTAAAACCTGTTGAGCTCCTGCAGCAGGTGTTGCCCTGTGCAGACTCACTCCTCTCGTCATGCTTTGCATGTTTGAGCCGTTGGACCAGAGAAGAGCTGCGGAGCTCTTCTCTGGTCCAACACATTTTTATAAAGTGGGAGTCGTAAAAGTCGTAAAAGAGAGAAAATGCACCGCATGACTGCAGCAGCTTGTCATGCTGCAGTCATGACAAGCTGACTGTCAGCTTGTCATGTTACGACTCCCACTTTATAAAAATGTGTGAAAACAAATGTTATGCAAACAAAGCTGCGGTGGAACGTTTTCATTTAGTTAAGGTTTACTTTGTGTGTGACTCTCCCTTTTTAATATTTTGTCTAATATTTTTATTGTTGAGCTGAAAATTAAATTAATGTCTTTAAAATTATTACTTTAATTAATGACAATTTACTTATGTATTTATGTTGCGTAATTTTTATGTTTTGTTAAACACTGCTAATCATTTACTGAAAAAACATAGAAATACTTTTATTTATTGTGATTTTAAAATATTAAATTAATTCAATCTTGTTTATTATTGTGTTAAAAATATAAACATGAAAAAGAAAAAGAACTTATTTGTTAGTTTATTTAAATTTTAGCGATATTTTGATGAATTAATTGTGCTTAAATCGTCTGGGATCTGATCTGAATTTAATCCGTGGTTTGTTTTTTAAAGTTAAATAAAGAAAGATAGAGGCAGATGATCTGATTCAATTTTTATCTGTAATCGTCTCAAAGTAACCGTTAGTGTCCAGCAGGTGGCGCCATAGACTGGCTAGCTCCCAAAAACAGTAGATAATCTAAATCAGGAAGAAAAATTTAACTTTTTTTTTTTTTTACTTTTAATATTTGTTGGTTATTTCTAACACAATAATGTTCCTTTTATGCTCTTTAGAGGCAGTTTGAGTTTCAGACATAAATGTAAGAAGCAGATTTAACCGTAAAGAAAGTTCTGGGTCGATGCTTTAATGAGCAAAATGTCGGATAAACGTCTGGAAATGGATCAGAGTTCAGATCAGAGTCACCAAACTGGGAGAAACTTCAGGGCTCTAAAAATAAAGTGAACTAAACCGGCGCTGGTTTGGTGCCACGGCCCAGATAGAGGTGACGTCTCACGGCGACCTGCGCCGATAAGAGCTTAAGGTACAGTGAAAATATGCAAATATCTGCGGGAGAAAGCAGATAAGAGCGCAACTGGAGCGCAGCTGACCTGGACTCCAACCTTCAACCCGGGAGGAAGCGCTGCAGCAATTTCCCCAAACAGAAACCAGACGCAGGTGAGAAAAACTGTTTGTCCCCTTAGAGATTTATTTAGTTTTTGCTCCTCAAAAATATAAAATAACCTGATGAAGGCATAAAGCAGCTTTTTAAAAATAAAATTATTTTATTTCTGAAGAAGCTGAAAAAAGCTCCAAACAAACCTGACGCTGTGTGAGAAAGTAATCACACCCTAGACCGCTATGGTTGTTCCTCTTACACTGAAAAAATCAGTAATTTAATGAAGTTTATGTAACTTAATCTATTCACATTTTCACCTTAACTTTCTAATAAATGAGTTTTTAGCATCACAGTGGACAAACTTTTCAGACACTTTGGAGGGATTTTCAGCATGAAGCTTAAAGGCCTGCTCAGTTAAAAAAAAAACGTGCTTTGACTAGACCTAATATTCCATCGTACTATGGCACCAATCAACAACAAATTTTGTTTCAAGACACTTTTCAAAAACAAAAACAAAAAAAGTCATTTCAACCACATGTTTTTCAGAAACAGAAAAAGTTAACAGTTGAAATAAACTGGAGAGTAGTAGGAGAAGAAAGGGAGAAGAAGTGGCAGCATAACTACAGAGACAGATCAGGTCAGCCATATTTCATGATGTTTCCTGTTTTACGGTCAAAACCAGCAGAGAAAACTTCCTGCAGATTTCCTCAAACTGAAGAGCAGCCGTTCCTGCCGCTTTTGGTTCCAGTTCATCATTTTTATAGCTTTATTTTTATCTAGGACAATGTCTGTTCTGCAGGTAAAAAGTTTCAGCATAATTTTTTTATCCCCTCTGACCTCGGTGCGAACCCGTCTCCCCGTTACCCAGAATGCCCTGGAGTTGGTCTCAATTATCCCGAGCAGAATCCCAGATTTATCAGGCTGGAGACGATCCAGCTGAGCCGCTGCTGCCTTTGATCCACTGCCAAACATCTGATCAGAGAGCAGCAGAGATGGAGAAGCAGCGGATCGCTTCAGTATTTCCTCTGATATGAGTCTGATTACTGTGAGAGCAGCTGAGCCTCTGCCCCCCCACCCGGACGGAAACGCCGCTCTGAACACTCAGGAACAAAACCTTTGGAGCTTTTTCTGACTCCAGAAAAAGAAGGAAGGAAAACATGTAAAGCCTGGTTTCACTGCTCTTGTAAGCGAATCAAAATGTGTTTCATGAAGCTTAGTTCAGTTCCTCCCAGAAGAAACGACACAGAGTCTAGCAGAGCTTAAGGAGAAAGTTCTGGATGAAAATCAGAACATTGTTTAAATTAAGGGACATAAAAGGTCCAAACCAAACCTGCTACTTTGCCTTCTGACTTTATTCTTGGTGCTCCTGTTCATTTCAGAGTCAAACCAAACCAGCTTTCCAAATAAACTTGAATGGTTTGGAAGAAATAATTAATGATTTCTCTTCTTTGGTCTCCAAAGGCAAAAAGCAAAGCAAAGCTCTGAAACCGATGGACGCTGCAGAGAGAAGGTGATGGGATCATGTTCCAAGACCTGGATGGAAATTCCATAAAGGCTTCATGAAAAAAGCTGACCAACAACCAAATGACCAACCAACCAACCGACCAACCAACCAACCAACCAACCAACCAACCAACCAACCAACCAACCAACAACCGACCAACCAACCAACCAACCACCGACACACCAACCAAACAACCAACAAACCAACAACCA